AACACAGCACAGAGTTCGTGTTGTGGCGCAAAGTGTTGAGTTTAGCAAGTGAACGTACTTCTTCTTGATGTCTGTCTGGGTTTTCGTTCCGCAGCGAATCTCAAGGGCGCGAGATTGGTAGTCAGTGCAGTTGGAGCATGACACGAGCTCCTTGTACTCTCCCTGGTAGGGGAACCAAGCCTCCAGATCCAGCTTCTTGGAAGCAGCATCGTTGAGAGCACCAGACACGATAGCAACAACCTGGTATGGCAGACCAAGAGACTTGTAGAACTCCTCTGAAGCAGCAATCATGTCATCAAAGGCTTCCCAAGACTTCTCTGGGTCGGCAAGGAGGAACTGCTCGATCTAGGGAGGGAGTCAGTATTTCCCATCGCAGCTAAGTGAGTAAGTGTGATTACCTTCTCGAACTGATGAACACGGTAGATACCCCAGGCATCTCGGCCGTGGGAGCCAGCCTCTCGTCGGTAGCACGTGCTGTAGCCAGCATATCTATTGCCGATTGTCAGCGAAATAACTTTTATCCAATGGCCGCAGCCTGAGCTCACTTGATGGGAAGATCCTTGGGCTGGAGCCACTCGTCGGCGTGGAACGCAGAGATGGGCTGCTCAGACGTGGCGATGAGATACTTGTCGTTCTTTGAGTCTCCGTCGACAACCTTGTACAGCTGCTCATCGAAATCATCCAATTGAGCAGTCTTGGCCATGTAGTCCTTGAGCATGAACTGAGGCGCTTGGAGAGCAGTGTATCCCTTGTTGGAGAGGAATTCGAGACCGTAGTTTACCAGCGCCTGGTTGAGGAAAACACCCCACTGGCGAAGGAAATATCCACGGTGGCCAACGACCTTGACACCTCTGTCAGGGTCATATCCGTCAAGTCGGAGGAGGACCTCGTGGTGGGACAGGACCGGTCGCTTCTCTACGGTGACGCCCTCGGGGGCCCACGTTCGCTGAACTGCGTTGTTGTCCTATGACTCGGTAGGTTAGAGGGTTGACAGATGTATAGATAGTTAATTCAAAAGAGACGCACCTCATTGTTGCTCACGGGCACAGAGTCGTGAACAAGGTTGCCTACTGACCTAACCTTGGCCTTCAGCAGCACGTCCTTCTCGGCCGCCGACTCGATCAGAGCCTTCTTCTCCTTCTCCAGCTCAATCTTTTGCTTGAGAAGATCGTCGGCGTTCTCCTTGGCCTTTGCGTCGTGTTGTCAGCAGACTGATCAGTAAAGTTGCAGCCAGATATACCCTACCTTCTTCTTGGTCGCAATCTGCTTCTGGACGTCGTTTATCTTGCCATTCATCTGGGTTGCGCTGTACTGAGCTGTGAGGAACGGCGTTAGCACATCTGGATTTGCCGCAACTAAATCAACAAAAAATGTTTACTTCGGCGGTGGTCCTCGAACAAGGCAATGATCTCGTCGACAACCTCGACATTGGCGAAGCGCTTGCGTTGCGATTCACGAATCTTTTCAGGGTTTCCGCCCCGCTCGGCGATGAAGTCGTTGACGTCGAGCATGGTGAACGATCTTGGGCTGGTCTCGCTTTTCGGATCGTTGTTTGAAAAATGTCACGAGAGTTGCAAGTTGTCCAGGACCAAAAAATATCGAGATAAGTGTGACTAGTCTGGGCTCAAGAGATGCTAATCGAGTCACAGACAAAAAATGGAGGGGTGAGCAAGGTGGGGTTCTGACTGTTTTGCGCGACCCTGGCGCTTTGGAGTGCTACGGCGAGTCCTTGTAGGGCTTCTAGACTACGTTTATAGAACATTCCGTGCCAATTTATCCAAAACTACCATTGCGCGCCACGGTATTTGCTGGTGATATTATTTTTCATGTATTCCTATATGATTGTATCTGTGACTGCTTTTTTGCAAGATAAATTTCTCTTTAATAAAACCTAAGCAGACCAGACGACTTAAAAGACGGAGGGAAAAAATCCTAAAAAAAATTCATGTAGACGCAGTCACCAAAAACGTCGTGGCACATGAGGTAAGGTATTGAATGATGTGAATCCGAGCAGTTACTTATTGTGCAATTCCACACCGCCCATCTGTCCCCGATCTTATTGCCCTTTTGCGACTACTCCTTCTCATCTTCTTCTCATTTCTATGCTCACCTATTTTCAGTGTATATAAGTCTTTCTGCACTGCATCGTAACGGATCTGCTCCGTAATAGCCACCGCCCCAAATGTGGCCCAGCCTACGGTAGATGGATGCCCCTCCTTGGCAAGGGTGTTTTAGGACTGTCATGTATCTCACCTGATTGGACGCCGGGTTTAAGCATCTGCATTGGGACTGCCATTCTCAATGCGCCGACTTGCATCGCGATTCCTTGCATCAACTTTGTTGCTTTAACAACATGTGAGAGGCGTCAATTTCAACGCGAATTCAGGTGAAATCCTCAGAACTATTCATCGCTCATCAACCATGGATTCTCAACGGCCGGCCGAGGCGCCGCGCAGAAAAATCGCTACCTACGGGAAACTGTCGTCTCGTGGACCTCGCGCTCATGCGACATCAGCTCCGCAAACACCGTCCAACAGAGAAGTGACGCCTTCGACGACTCTTCGACAAAAGCTCCCCGGAGTGCCTCCGCCGCGATTTGGCGATCCTTCGCGATCACAGAAAGCGCTGCACAGTGCCCCTGTTTCGGATCAGGAAACAGCTCGCAAACAACGTGATCGCGAAGCAGAGACGCCACGGAAACGGAGCCATAAATCTGCTTTTGGTATGGAATCAACCAAAGGAACGGTGGACATATCGCCCACTCGCCGCGCGCTGAAGTCACCCTTATCCCGGAAGCTGACATTGGGCCTGAATGGAACAGATGCGAAAGATTCAAAACCCAGTTCCTCTGAAACGGGATTCATCAATTCTCACGAGACAGTCTCGCAAGCGGTGACTCCAAAAAAATCTGCTGCGGTTGGTACAAGCACCGCCAAACTGGAAAAAGAGGCCGAGGCGAACGCTTCTCCCACAAATAAAGTACCAGATACACCGCCGACGCGTCGACGTCGTTTGATCGATGCACTGGTGGCCGAAGAAAATATTACTTCTAGCTCAAGCCCAAGCCCAAGCCGCAGCCAAAGCCAAATCACTGACGGCTCAGACAATGTCAACAACAAGGAGCATAAGCACGCTCGGATTGACCGACCTAGCTTTCGTAAAGAGGTTCCACTGCGCAGGACCGGCTCCGATAGCAGTGCGCTGGAGAGGAGGAAGGTTAAATTCACTTACAGTCAATCTCGAAGTTTTATTCAGGCTTCCCAAGAATCGGATGCCGCCGAATCCACCGACTATCCCTCCCTCTTGGACGAAATTGATGCACCAATAAAGCGGCCGCCGTCCCCAGTCATGGATGACGATGATGACGATGAGTTGAAGAACAAAGTTGCTATCCGGAGTGTACACGAACTACGACGAGCTGGTGCAAACAACCGGTCGTCAGATGAAGTTGACGATCTACTGTCAAGAATTGGAACTCCCGGTCCTTTAGCATCCTCCATGCGCAGAAATGGCTTGTGTGAGCTAGCGAGTAGGCTGCAAAAGAAGGAGTTTATGAATCAATTTCGCGATCATGCATCCCGGGATAACATTGCCAAGGGAATCCGGCATGAGGAAGATACCATCAGCGGATTTCTCCTTGCGGCCATCTTTGTCATTTTTCTATCAGCCGAAACCGCACCACACCTGCTCCGCCAATTAACAGAGAACCGAGTGGGCTTGTGGTTGAATAATCTCCTCGCGATACAAGATGATGCTACTGCTATTGCGGCACAAAGATCCGCAAATATGTCGAGAGCAGGCAGAACCGCGCTGGATAGCGTTAAGCGTGCGCTGCTGGAAATGGACGTATGGCGTGGTTACAAGCTGCAGCGTCTCTCTCCACGCACAATCGCCTTGCAACTGCTCTCTATGCTGGTCAAGTTGCTGGATCCGCAAGACGTCCGAGTTCTGTTAGATGATACTTTTGCAAACTTTTCGCAACTGAGATCCAGTTTTATAGAGGACGATTCCCAAGACGATGTCGATTATGCTCTTACAGTCCTCATTATGGAAGCAGAATCGAATGCCACAGCGCCCGCGGATGAGCCATTGATGAAGATACGGCAAGAGATGTCTGACATCGCTGCGTTTCTCCAAAGCATGCTGCAACGTTGGCCGAGAACTCGTGATGATATCGATGCTACATTATTAAAGCTAGCCATCAACACGACTAATAATGAAACGAGGGCTGCTGCACTTCAAAACGGCCGGCTGCTGTCGAGCCTGGTTAGTTCCATTGCTTCTGGGTTTTCGGCTGTCCAAAGCGCCATTCAGAAGTCGGCATTCGAAAGCAATGTGTACGACGAGCTTTCATTGATTCTTGGAATCATGATTAACGTGCTGGAACATTGCCCGGATGCCCGAACATCCATCCACGAAGACGAGGTTGACAAGCTTAATGCGACATGGTCTGAAAGCGAACGATCAATAGAAACGGTATGTATATATGTTGCAAAGAGAAAACAAGAAAGAACTGACGATTGCCAACACAATGACAGGATGATTCGGTCGAGACATCCAAGCTCGGTATCGCATACAGCTACCTTGCTATAATACTGGGTTACCTGTACTTGGGCCATATTGGGCTACCGGTGCCTGGTGGCTTAGTCCCGGCCATCCAACATTTTATCACCATAAATAAGACGCTCAATAATAAAACAGCAGAGCTGGAGCATCTTGTATATAGCCTGACCAGGCTTCGCTAGGAGCAATTTAAGATACCATGTATATATGCCACACTTACTTTTGAAATACATTGTCAAATTGTGTACGATCTGCCACTTTGGTGACGTAACATGCCCCCGATTTACAGTGTGATAATTACTGTATAGATGGATGCCAGGCAGTAATTCTCGTCGTACGTTTGTGAATGCTGCAAACACTCTGTGAAAAATTACAGGTATGCCATCGAACATCTACCCGTATATATAGAGTAATACCATTATATAAACATTATATACACAGATCATATACTTTTTTTATTTTTAGAACCTTCTCTTCTGCCATGCATAGCCGTGTGCCGGGCTTAGCAGATAGTTTTGCCTTAATCCGCACCCGGCACCCGCTAGCGTCCACTGTTCCCATGTGATAATAGCGGCCCCCAGCAGGCCCATCCCACCTGCAGCCTGCAATCCCCCCCCAACGGCACCAAAGGTAAGTCCCCAGTATCATCATCATCATCAGCCTCTCAGACCACTCAATTTCTACCCCCCTCCCAAAAGGCCGCCCCAAAGAGAAACTTCAATGCCTACCTTGAAGCAACGAAAGGTCGCCATCGTGGGCAGTCGATCTGTTGGTATGCACCCGGGAAACCCGCGTCTTTTCTTCTGTCTGCGCCGTCAGAACTTTTGGCTGACCTGAATGCCCCAGGCAAATCATCGCTCGCCGTGCAGTTCGTCGATGGTCACTTCGTCGACAGCTACTACCCCACGATAGAGAACACCTTCAGCAAGACTATCCAGTATAAGGGACAGGATTACGTCACGGAGATCGTCGACACCGCGGGACAGGTAAGATTTTCTCGGGCTGCTTCTCTTCTCGCAGTCGCAGCGCTGCCCGTCGAGACGCTGACGCTGCGCCCGAACAGGATGAATACAGCATTCTCAACTCGAAGCACTTCATCGGCATCCATGGCTACATGCTAGTCTACTCAGTGTCGTCCCTGCCATCCTTTGAAATGGTCCAGGTCGTCCGCGAGAAAATCCTTAATCATCTAGTATGTGCTCTCTCCCCCAGCCCATCTTCTTCCTCCCTTCCCTTCCCTTCCCCCAGCATTCCGACGAAAGCATTTGCATTGCTGACTATGTCTCACCCCATCTCCCAACAGGGTACCGAGTCCGTTCCCATCGTCATAGTAGGTAACAAGAGCGACCTCCGACCAGAGCAGCGCCAAGTCAGCCCCGAAGAAGGCAAGAAGCTGTCAGAAAAGTTCGACTGCGGCTGGACCGAGGCCAGTGCAAGGTACAACCAAAACGTCGGCAGGGCGTTTGAGCTCTTGATTGCCCAGATTGAGAAATCTCAGAACCCTGGCGAGCCCCCTGCCAAGAGCAATTGCATTGTGATGTAGCTCAAAGTCGAGCCCAAGCCGGTCGAGCCTAAGTCGGTCGAGTCCAAGATACCCTCAGGAGACAGTTTCCTTATTTTAGAGTTGAGAACCCGTTGTTCACATAGGCTATGGAGCATGCCTACCTAGGATGCTAGCCATGATACTTAGTAGTCGGGGTATAGGATAATGCTGCTACTAGACCATCACCATAATTATGTTGCTATTTTATTCAACAGATAGCACTGGATAAGTACGGACGGGAACAAAGGTCATAAACAACAGTCAATATTGTGAGAATACAATACGATTTCATTCATCGGATGATCTAGTAACTATGGTAGATCTGTTGAATCTGCCTACCTGAGCAGATGGTCAGTTGATGGCTACGTTTACATATCTCATCATAATATATTCCGCATTTATCATACTATTTCTAGGCTTAAACGCGCAAGAATTCAAGAGTAACCAAACGAGTATCATTCCAACTGCTTCTGCGGCAGCAATTTCTTTAATGATCAATACTGTATCATGCGTTAGTAACTTTGTTGCAAAGGTTAACAAGAAGAAGGAGTTGAAGCTTACTCTTCCCACAATCTGCCCTGTACTGATTGCAATTCTTCAGCCGTCATACGTTTGCCAGCCGTAAAGTAACCTTACTGAGTTAGTATTCCATATATCTTGTGACCCTGACGGGGGGAAAGACTCACCAGCAGTAATTTTGGCGTCAATCTCAACTCTCGAATCAGCCGGGATGAGTTCATCCGGAAGTTCCACTCGCTCGTGAATGGGAATTCTGTGGTGGTTAGAAGCTGGACTATGCTCTTCAACAGGCATGAACTTACCCTTGACCAACAATTGCATCGTGTTTCATGCTACAACACTCGTTAGACATAGCGATAAAAAGCTGGAAGTGGTAGGAGGCTCCAGGTAATCACTCACTTGCTCATACTTAGCATGCGGTCAATCTTCTTGATACCCAGCCAGTGAAGAATGTCGGGCATCAGAGCCTGGAAACGCATGTCCTTGACTCCGGCAATATTCTCTGTGCGCATAAAGTACTCTGACGCTCGGTCCTCGCCACGCTTACGAGCATTGTAAACCACTATCCTCGTCAGTCAATCTTCAACATGAAGTATGGGCAATGAAGGTATAATTGTTAAGCAGGGTAGCCTTACGGTACTATGATGGATGTTAGTAGAATTCCTAGAGTCTAAGATCAGGGTAGCATACCTTTGTCACTTCTCCAAGGGCACGACCTTCTTTCCTGAAATATATAACTACGCCGCTGCCGCCCCTCTGAGCTTCCTTCACAGCCTCTTCGATGCCAAAGATCAGGTATGGTCGGCATGTGCAGATATCGGAACCGAACACATCACTTCCATTGCACTATTCCCAATCAATTCTCTATCGAAAATCATGCATCAGGGAGACACTTACTTCATCATGAATTCTCAGAGACAATTTTACGGATTCATCGGACATCTTCGCAGGATCACCAAAACAGTAAACAGTCAGACCCCCTGAAACATGTGGTTAGCCTTCTTTATTATCGAGTTGCGACTTTCAACAAGCCATGATCCATTGACGTACCGATGGGTGGAAGGAACACTTTGATATCTCCACGAGTAATCAACTGTTATTGATCAGTATTGGCTGTATTTATCTTGATAATGGGCGATCTTGTACCTCTGGGTAACTTCCTCCTGTATGTTCAAACAGCGATCGTCGCAAAGTGGCCTCATCTGCAAATGATTAGCCTTTGTATAATCAGCACTCCCATGCTAAGTGCCACTCACCAATTCCAAATCTCTCTGCCACACCGGGTAGGTACCAGACCTAGAGCATTAAAACTTAGCGTTATACTGCGAGGGTTTAAGAACACGTCCATACTGGTTCGACGGCAAACTTGGTAACAGCCAATTCTCCAAGCTCATTCAGGCAGACTTTTCCGTCGGGGACTCTAAAAGATACGTCAGACAGAGTTCGAAGAATTCATATAACGCATCTTAGTGACATACAGTCGGCCGCTCTTCACACTTTCCTCGAGCTCGGGCAGCTATTACTCTGTGATTAGTGTGATGGAAATAACGAAGTCAAAGAGCTCTTCTTACCTTCATGTGAGCCTTGGTAATGGCAATTGTTGGTCGCATGTCAACTAGAGTCTCCATGAGCGAATGATAACTATCGCAATGAGGGTTGTCAAATACCATTTTCCTTTTCCATAATGTCCTTGAAGGTCCATGGAACCAGGTGACCCCAAGGGTCCATGGCAACAATCTTCTTCTTATCGCCCCATTGGGGGAACGGTCCAATCTTCGCAGCTGGCTCCGTGTTTGTGTAATCAGGTCTGAGATACTCAGGGTCAGATCAAGGACAAGATTATTATCTTTTGTTAGAACAAACCTATGATCGGCGTTTAGCTCTTTGCTGGCAACAGCCAGCGCATAGTAGATCGAGTACGAGCCTCCGCTAGATATTGGTCAATATACATCAAAAGTATATGAGACGTCGTGGTCCTTTGGATTTCTTGCAACTTACTGAGCTAGATACAAATGTTAGTAGGTAGAACATTTTCATATAGACAAAGCGTCAGCTTACCTCCAATGGCTGAAATGATGACATTTCGTGTTAGTCCAATACCCGCCACTTCACGTTACAAACACGGGGAACGAACCATTTCTGCGACGAATGGTAGACGCGGCTCTCGAAACGACTACGGGTCCTCGCTGCAGGGGATCGGGATTTCCCCAGTCCATCTGGAGAGGATCAATGCCAATCTGCTTTGGATACGTCCTATGAGAGATCACATGTGAATGAGTTGCTGGTTCACACAATATCACCAGGTGGCAAGGGAAGACAGCACACACGTGAGCACGATTCGCGATGTAAAGCCTGTTCGGCTGCTTGGAGACAGAGCTGAACTAGGCTGGACCGTTCCATTCTCAAAGGACGATTGGAGGTCCGCAGAAGCTTCAACATCCTTTTGCTTGGGGTCCTTAACACTCTCAGAGAGCAGGGGGGTCACTGGCAGCTTGGAGGCAGGGTCAAGGGTAGAAGAACCAAGTTTACTGGTGAGTGATTCAACCGAGCTCAGCAGGCGCTGTTGGGTTTGCTGGATGTCCCGAAGCGTGTCGAGGACACCATCTTGCTGTCCATCTGCAGCCATGAGGGGCTGGATGTCCGCTAAATCGGGATAAGTAAGTTTGAAAAGGAGGGTAGTTTGATATGAAGGGTTTCCCTGAAGAGGGCAGGGTGTAAGTTGGAGAAGGAGGAGGAAGGAGAATGAAGAGCGAAGCGATCACACAAAGGCCGTGGCAAATATAGGCAGATGTAGAAGATATGCTTCAATACAGGAGGAAGAGAGTCAGTTCGGTTGGGCAGGGAGACATTCTATAGTAGTCGAGGCGAGCAGTACCTAATCGTAATCGCGGAACCGCATATCTCTTACGTACCCCGCCAGTATCTGATAGGCATGCAGCGGACAGAGTTTCTTACCCCAAAGGACCTAAGGTAAGCAAACGGTATCAGCTGCCTGGAGTTAGTCTCACAGTACCTAACGTCAGTAGCAGCGTAGGTACCTAATCTGCTTGGGTGGTGACAACTCCCGTACGGAGCATTAGATCGTACATCCAGATAGCGGGATGCGGGGTTGCTTTCTGAGTTGTCGGCAGCCGCCGAAGAGCGGACCCCAGCCCCGTTTGGAGGGCAGTCCTCTGTATAGCACTGTGCCGCATCCGTCCTGCAGGAGAACGCTAGTGCACCGATATAGCGATAAAAAGTGTGCCTTGCACCGTAATGCACTGTAATGCACTGTAAAGGGAAGGGTGCCTGTCCATATGTAATCCAGCGCGATAAGATAAGCGGCTGGACGGTGTCTCACACGTACCAAGCGGAAACGCGATGCGACTTTCAATCACGGCACAAGAGATTGCGTTTGCCCGCTGAGCACAAACGCCATCCACCCCAACGCCATGGGAAAGCGCAAGTCTTCGTCCAGAAAGCCCATGGGGCCTAAAAGGGTCAGCAACATGATTCCTCCACTATGCCCATCTTCCGGAACTGACTGGACCACAGGCTGATCCCTTGCCAACTACGTTCACATGCCTCTTCTGCAACCATGAGAAGTCTGTCACCGTTAAGCTTGATAGGAGGGCTGGCGTTGGCCAGCTAGATTGCCGCATTTGTGGGCAGAAGTTTCAGTGTGCTGTCAACTGTTCGTCTCTGACAGCCTTCCCCGTTCGAAAGCCCTGTGCGCTAACCGCAAACTCCAGACCTCTCGGCCGCGGTCGATGTATACGGAGAGTGGGTTGATGCCGCTGGTATGTCGCATGCCCCGTTGAACTTGATCATACTCAAAAACTAATATTCATATGTACAGAGGCTGTCGCGAAACAAGACGCTGGAGAAGGCAATACCGGCAAATCATATGGCGCTCGAAGACCCCTGGAAGGCAAAAATACTATTGACGAGCACGATGAAATCGACCAGCATGATGATTATTGAGTGCCTTGCTGTATATTTCTACAAAAACAGGCTGGGATGCTACAGAATTGGGGATATTGACGCATACTACATACCAGGGTCTTATCGGAAAACCCCCCATCTTCAAATCGTATAGAATCGGTCGCCAAAGTCTCCAAGACCAGGCACAATGTAACTGCAGCAGGGTCAGGGTCAGCCAATGCATCGTGGAGTCAGGATCATCATACTTTTTCTCATCCAAGCCCTGCGCACGGATTCTATTAGTACAGGTCGTTTGAACTAGCGATCAAAATATCAACACTTACCTCATCAATGAACGCCGTTACAACTTTGAGGCGAGGGAACTTGGCGGCGAAGCTTGTTATTCCTTCAGGACTAGCAATCAGGTTGAGAAACAGGATTCGATCCTCAGGGACCCCTCGGCCCTTGAGAACCTCGACAGCCATTGTAGCGGAACCACCTTTGCAGTTGTCAGTTATGGGAACGGTTGGCTGTGCTTTGATGTACACAGCGACAAATAGGGGAAGGAGGCAGAAGGGTTATTACCTGTTGCAAACATCGGGTCTAGTAGAAGGACCCATCGGTTTGCAATGTCCTCGGGGAGTTTATCATAGAAAAGTTTGGGCAGCGCTGTGTCCTCGTCTCGTTGAATCAATATCTTTCCAATTCTTACGGATCGACAGCAGTCACGCAATCCCTGCTCCATTGCCTCTCCCGCTCGCATGATGGAGACACCACAAATCTTGCCCTGAAACATTAAGCCATTATACGTGCGGCCGACGGGTGTGGTAATGTTTTTCTCAATGACCGGAAGGTGATTTAGGCCTTCCTCTACCAGCAGTCGGATAATTCTGTTGGAATAGAAGATGAAATCGGCGCGCTCTGTGTCCTTGTTTCTTATCATGCTGTATGAAAAGTTTTAGTAAAGGACGTGATGCACATGGAACCAGTCGAGGGCCCTAAACCTACGATAGAAGGGCAATCAACTGGGGAGTCTGCGGCAAGACATAGACATTATCAGACGACACCACGGCAGACACCGTAGCACTCGGCTTGTCAGCGACAGCCCTGAAGCTCGGGCCGACGCACTGCGTGGGTGCAGAAGCAGGTGTTGGGTTTTCAGCCATGGAATTGGTCGTGTAGAGAAAGTAGCACTTGAAAAAGGTTCGAGATAGTTGCAGCTACGCGGAGCTACCTCTAAGGTAGATAGGCAGGTATATCTAGTCGGGCTTCTAGCGATAACGAAACCTTACATAAAGAGGGGTCTGGGTCCCTATTACGTAGATACTCGGGGACCGCCGCCAGCAGGTTTGTTATCCATATTGCATATTATGGGTAAGATGGTTTACTTTGGCGTCAGATGGACGGCTTCAGGAATGGAAGCATTGGTCCCCGATTTAGCTGCTTGGCTAGCGGAGCTATGGAGAGACGGGTTCAGTCTTATTCTGGCAACCTGGTTGCAGTCTCCTGTCTTGCCCCTGCGCCCTTATGGTTGTTTTTTTCAAAGTAGGCATCTGGTCAGAAGATCAACATATGCGGTTAGTCAGAGGAAGTGCTCCAATAATTGCATATTCGCATGGCTGCGGCAGAGGCAGCAAGACATCGGGTATTGGAGATTGCCAGAGGAGAGAGTCCTGCAGTTATCATACCAGTTCTGATGTATAATACTCGTGAATTTAATTCATTGATTTATGTACTCCTAATTCAACGCTCGAAAGCATTCAGAATCCTATCATAAAAAAGAATCATATTACCCATTCAAGCAATCTGATTTACAACAAGAAAGACTGGTGCATCTTTGATGCTTTCAGCATGCAGCCTGCACTCGACTACAGTAGCACAGTTTCGGGTTTCCTAGTTCGATTACATAAGTCAAAAACCCAAGGCACATGGCGCCTCAATTGGCGTGGCTGTTCCTTACCAGCCGAGTGGGCCATGATTAGGGCACCCATCTGGGGCACACATCTTATCTCCAATTTTCTTTTTTTTCCCTTGGTCTCTCTTTTACCTAACCACACCTCTCATTATCCTCCTCCCCTGGCAAGCAAACCACGAGCCTCTGTCAGATAATCAATCGCCATCATGCGTAAGAATCCTCATGTCCCAGAACTGTTGTCGCAGCTACTAATTCGCAGGCAGCTCCCAAGTTCGATCCCAGCGAGGTCAAGGTCATGTTAGTTCACACAATGCGTCGCTTCACGTCCCGCGAACTTCAGGTCTAACTTGCAGCTTACAGCCACCTCCGTGCCACCGGTGGTGAGGTTGGTGCCTCTTCGGCCCTTGCTCCCAAGATTGGTCCTCTTGGTCTGTCGCCCAAGAAGGTCGGTGAAGATATCGCCAAGGCCACTGGTGACTGGGTAAGGAAATGCGTGCTCCTGCAGAGGCAGATCGCGGTGCTAATGCCATGGAACAGAAAGGTCTCCGTGTCACCGTCAAGTTGACCATCCAGAACCGTCAGGCTGCCGTCTCTGTCGTGCCCACTGCCTCCTCTCTCATCATCAAGGCCCTCAAGGAGCCCCCGCGTGACCGCAAGAAGGAGAAGAACATCAAGCACAACAAGTCCGTCAGCCTCGATGAGATCATTGAGATTGCCCGCACCATGCGCTTCAAGTCTTTCGCCAAGGAGCTGAAGGGAACCGTCAGAGAGATGCTGGGAACTGCTCAGAGTGTTGGCTGCCAGGTCGATGGAAAGACCCCCCAGGCTATCCTGGAGGCCATCGAGAACGGCGAGATTGATAGTATGTACCCACTTCCTGCCGTAACGCATTCTGTGATTGCTAACATTTGACACAGTCCCCGAGGAGTAGAGTGTCTGGTTCAGACCACCTGTCCCACCGAGAAGAAATTCTCGTGCATTGGTGACACATCAAAAATAGAAAAAAAGGTCAACCAACATACCGATTTTGCCCCACGTGATGTATTGAAATGTATTCCCATTGCGGACTCAACCGCATCCTTAGCTCACTCCGAGATACATCGTCACTGCGCAGTGGTGTATTTCTATTTTTGCTCAAGGAAGAATGAATCTGGCCACTTACTCACCTCTATACCCTTTACTCCGTGGGTATATTGGTCCTTCCAATCACGCCAACATGACCTACTTTTTGAATTCCTCTTATTGATGATGAAATGTTTTGGATTGCAGTCATTTGTGTCTGGCTTCCATTCTCATGGCTTCCATTCTCAATGATGAAAAGATGATGGACCAAAGCTAAAGTCTTTGGATATAGCACACAGATAGAATGACTATAATGAATACAATATTAATTTTAGTTGGCTATTGCATCTCGGGTTTTACTTTTTGATGGACTATAACTGTCCGGATAACTGTTGACAAAATCGTGCGTAATGTTGTTGAAACAGTTGGGCGTGTATAATGTACCAATAGCCATATTACATTACTAAGAATAGATGGCTGCCCTAATAACTCTTCGTGTGCTAATAAACTGGGACAGAATCTCAGTCACAATGGTGTGCCACAATCGTACACGAGATACAGTCTATTCTATTATTCAAATAGCTGCTATTTTGCCCCTTATTCACAGGGCAACCCGCCAGCCAAGACTTGCTTTTGCTAGGGTCCTTTCAAGCACACACATGAGGTAGAAGCAATCCGAGTGTCTTTTAATATATCATAGGGACATTACCTAACCTCCCTACCCGCCTATGGGTTGTTACTCCATGTAAAATGACTGGGAAAACGGCCAGGCGCGAATCTAGCACTCGCAGGGCTCCCTGCGCCTTCATCTCTCTACAAATAACCCTTTTCAGACCTCATCCAAAACACGCTCCTTGAACTCCCGCTCGACCTTCTGGCCCTGGTCATCAGTGCCAGATTCACCGTGGAGAGCCATCAGGGCACCCAGGTCGAACTTGGGCGACTTCAGCAGCTTAACCTTGCGGATGTGGACCTGTAGAAAGAGAAAGAATTAGCAGCTGGCCAGAATTTTCGATAGTAGCTGGATAGACAGCAGTCTAGGCCAAACATACGTTCTGCAGGGGGTAGATGCCCTGGGTGGACTTCTCGATTTCGCGGCCGATAACCTCGGGGATCAGCTTGGAAACCAGCTGGGTGAGGGTGCAGCTGGAAGCCTCGCGCTGGATGATGTCGGTCATCTTGCGTCGAATGGCGCGGATCTGGGAAGAAGCAGCGTAGGTGGTCTTCTTGATCTGGTTGGGGCGTCGCTTGGTGAAGGCAATGGCGAAGAGGCGGATGAGGTAGTCATCGGTGGTCTTGACGGTGATGTTGGCCTCAATGAGGGTTTGCCACTTGCGGACGAGGGATCGGAGCTTGTCGGATGTGAAGTCAAGTCCGTGGAAGTTGGTCAGGCAGCTCTTGCCCTGGACCTCGTCGACGCGGAGACGAACTTTGCGGAATGAGTGGTCCTCGTCCTTCTGGAGGTCAGCGAGGGAGACCTCGACGATGCGGCCCTTCAGAGCATCGTTCGCGTTCTTGAGACCGGTTGTTCGGTTCACAAGAGTCTTGCCAACACTGCAAGAATCCGTCAGTCCAAATTCTCGACATCTTTTCGCTATGACACTGTTGCAATGCGACTCACTCTCGGATGTTGAAGGGGTTAGGAGCCTGTTGAACACACAATTAGCACATTTTGCAATCTTCTTCTTCTTCTTCTGAGCGCGTCCTTACCTTGATAGAGTACCAGTCCTTTCGGGTGAAAGGGTCCACGGTCTTCTTCTTAAGGCCCTTCTTGCCCTTGGAGAGTCTCTTGTTCCTGTTCTTTTTGTTGGCCGATGTTCATTTCCAGAGATTCGCAGCGTAGATACTCACTTTCCAACAGCCATGATTCCTTACCAGCGTATGGGGAGATGGGAATCGAAAGGTCCTAAAAAGTTGGTGGAGGGGTTGGAAGAATTTCAATTCTTGTGTGCATCAACCTGGATCTAAGCGAGCCAAACCAAAAAGGTACCGGGGCATATATTTTTCCGCTAATCTTGTGGGAATTTTTTCCAGCTCCACAACTCTCCAGCCCTTCTCTGGCCCTCTTGCCACTAAGGCCCAAAGTTGGCAAGTGGTCGTGGGTATCACGTGAGCAGCACGCGTGCGGTCATCGGCCACTTCAAGAATTTCATGCACACAAGGGGTCCGGCTAATTGGGGATAGCGCAGGACTTGGGCAGCCTATCAAATCACAGACATTTTCTCATTCGCAGCCCATGGCACGCTTCACAAAGATGCTTGTTTGAACATGGAGAATCTCACTGCCAATTCTCAAGGAGCGCCTTTCCTCAACCCATGTGAGAGATTCTTTGTACTACGTGATGAAATCTGTTGACTTTTTATGAACCAATGGTCTAGCTTGTCAAGAGTAGCCTCAATGGTCAAGCACATCCTGGCGAGTATATAGTGACGGAGGCGTAGGGTTTCTCATACTGAAGAACTTACTGGAGAACCTGAATTAAAATATCAGAAAGCCACTTGTTTCTACAATGATGCACTTCAGACCATTCAACCGCGTATGTAGTAGTTCCTCCGGAGACTGACTTTGTTCGTTGCTACTGGTGACACAATTAAACATTCTTATATGCGAGGTTATGCATGAAGTAAATCCGCGCGAAAAAGTGGGTGCGTGCGGGTTAGTCATCACGACTCCGAACTGCGTTTGATTGCTCCAGATGCTTCATGGGCTGTTGCAATTCCGCATATCGCAAAACAGCGACTGTCAATTGATCTGCCTGGTAAGTGCCTTCCCGTAACCCTGCAGGGCGTAGCTATCGGTGTTGAATACTGAGAGACAGACACTGACCCCAATCGTGCAGGTATTTCCGTCTCTATGCGACCGTCCCGCGCCATTGACTGATCATCTCCAGGTGCAAGAGTAAACCCGCAGCAGCCATGGGTCCCCCGAAGCCTCCCGTCCCTCATGTCGCTCCGATCTACCGAGTAACGGCCACAGCTCTTGGTGCAGGCATGTGGTTCTGGGTAAGTCCAATGCCTCTGGCGATTCAACCCAGGCGGGGGAATCGATGATGGGAAAAGGACGCTGTATACTGACAACCATATTCAGCTGATGTATCGGGCAAAGAAAGATGGTAAAACACCCAATTCGCATACGCACTTCTCCATGATCGGCTCTAACGTATTTAATCTCTCACAGGCCCCGTTTTGCTTGGCTGGAAGCACCCCTGGGACCACTAAACAACTCGATCAGGTCGAGATTCGAGACCAAGGACGGCATGGTACTCTACCACTGGGACATCGGCTATAGCTTGTGATTTAGTTTATACTACGACTCGAAGTTACATACAGCAATGTTCTCTGCGGGCAAAAGGTGAATGCTGGAATAAGAATAGTACAAGCTGCGCCATCTGAATATATCTACATTACGACTCGACGCATAAACTGAGTAATTCTAGTCCCAATACTGGAATACACTTGAGAGCTCCACCACCGGGAGGAAGCCAAAGCATGTAGTGAAACCAAGTATCTCTGTGTTCCCAAATTATGCTCTCCGATTCCGTGTACCAGAAGCCGCTGTCGTGTTAGTAGTGCCGTAAGGGACTGTATAATTTCCAGCGTTGAGCCAAGCCGTTTTCTCGTAGTTAATTTTCGAAGTATCTCATACCAATCAAGCAGCCTATGGTGGATTTGTCCACTTATCCCCACGAGTAAAGAGTAAGTAAGGACGTAAATATTGTGCTCTCAATACAGGGTGTGAAGCAGATACTCATTTGCACTATAAATATGTATTTGTCTAACTTTGTGCTAAAGTCTGCGTACCAGAATGGCACCAGTATCATATTTCCAAAATGTAGTTCACAGCTGTTGAAGCAATATATCCGATTGCCCGCATGTGATGTTGATTTTCTTTATACCAGGCGCGAAGGCCCATGTTTTTAAAACTTTTTACCTACCAATAATGCCCCAATAACAAGTAAAAAAAATCGAATTCGAAAGTATATACTCTCACCGCATGGAGCCCGTCTAGTAGAGGACTCTTGTCACGATGCAGGCTGGTATATCCTGTTAGTTATCGTGTCAATGTGGCAGAACATGCCTTGCAACTTACAGCTCAGGCCCTCTAGGCTCTCATAGATATCCTTGATCTCCTCATATTTCACGTTGCTGATATCGGCCATCAGATAGGCCAGCTGTGATCCAGTTAGTACTGCTTGATATCCAACGGTAATTTGGACCTCCTTACATCTCCCTTGCTGTCGCTGATCTGCTTATCGACATTGTGGTCGCCGAGAATCTCGTTGACTAGAAATCGTCAGCCTTGTGCACGTTGAAGATTCGGGTGCATTAGTCAAACCTTTGCGGAGCACACCGGGAACATTGCGATGGATGTAGATAACCTGTAGGTAATGTCAGAAAGAGCAGTATGTAGCGGAGAAGAGGGAGCAACTCACTCGGGCGTGGTCTGGCTCGTCCAAAGTAAGGGATCTCAACTGAGCTTCGGGAAGGTTGACACTTCCCAGAGTGATACCCTGGTTGATGTAACGGACCAATGCCTCAGCAACTAGATCCCAGTCAGTATTCTTCGAGAAAATAAAACAGTCCGTCTGTGCGATTTTGTGGACTAACCCTCGACACCAATGGCACGCTGTGCCTCTTCTGTGCTTCCACCAATGTGAGGAGTGAGAATGAGGTTGCTCAAGCTGCGGAGTTCCTCAGCCCATTGGTTCAAGTTGTTGGTGAAGTAATCGCCGTTGCCAGCTGGCTCGTTGGGGTAAACATCAAGAGCAGCACCCGCGATGTGCCCTGAGCGCATGGCCTTTACCAAGGCAGGGATATCGACAACGGTACCACGGCTGGCGTTGATTAGATAAGATCCCAACTTCATGCGGTCCAACTGGGCGGTTGAAATCATATTTCTTGTTTCGGGGAGATCCGGTACGTGGAGAGTAACGAAGTCGGCCTCCTCCAAGAGATTCTCCAATGAAGGGACCTGGCGAGCGGTTCCCAGTGCCATCAAAGTCACTACGTCATAGTAGATGACATTCATTCCCATAGCCTCAGCAAGAACGGACAGTTGAGAGCCGATGTGTCCATAGCCGACAATTCCTGGCAGTATGATATTAGAGCACGGCACTTAAGCTAATGCAACCCTCCAGCATTGACCACGTCTATGCAGGAGGGCCACTGATAACGAGTTGAAGCTTACCCAGAGTCTTTCCACGAATCTCCCAGCACTTTGCGCTGACTTTGTTCCATGTGCCACGGTGCATTTCAATGGATCGATCGCCGAGCTGTCGGGCCAGGGTGATGATTTCGGCAATGACCAGTTCCGCAACACTGCGAGAGTTTGCGAATGGGGAGTTGAAAACAGCAATACCACGGCGAGCAGCATAAGTGAGGTCGACTTGGTTGGTTCCGATACAGAAGCATCCGATGACGAGCAGGTTCTTGGCCTCGCTCAAAACCTTCTCGCTCAACTTTGTCTTGGAGCGGATACCGATAACATGGACCTCACTAGCATTTGTCAAGGTCAGAGGACGGTCAATTGCATTCAAAGATAGCTGCTCACCGGATTTTCTCAATGAGCTGATCCTCGGGAAGGGAAGTCTTCAGAGCTTCGACTTGGTAGCCTTGGCCTGTGAGAATATCCCGTCCGGTCTGGTTGACATTCTCCAACAGCAGGATCTTGATATCTTGGGTGTTGAAGGGCTTCAAAATCTTCGGTACGCTCTTGCGAGGTAGCATCCCCCCAAGGCTGGCCGGAGGAGACTGGAAGGTGGCAACGGGCGAAGTTGAGAGGTTCTGGCCCCAGCTAGAGACTACAGTTCTCTGGGGAATTGGGGCGCTGGGAGTGATATCGCGGGCTGAAGACATGGTTGCGGCGGTGCAATCGGGAAGATTGCTGGATAACCAAGAATGTCGTTCTGGAAATGGAAATGGGGAGGATGGATTGGGCGTCGACGGCACCAGACTGCGGGAGCTGGAGGGATGAAGAGATGAAGAGACTTGGAAGAGATCAAACGATTTCTATGTCACAAAGGCGGATCGTAAGATCTTAAAGCGAATTGAATCCCTGGCTCTTGCAGATACGCAACGTGAGTCACTGGGCATAGATACTAAGGTAGTACTACTGGAAACTCGTGCTGGAATCGGACAGATAATTTTGACTTTTACAAGAGCCGACACCGGCTTGCGGCCAATTGCGGCGACTCGCTGCCATGAGCGATGACTGGCACCTATTAGTACGAGTCCTGTCAGAATAGCACTACCGCAAACTCGCGCAATTCCCTAGATGCACCAGACAAGGCCAAAATCACCGTCCGGTGGGACAATTCGACGGAATGCATCCAACAAACCCCACCTTCGACGGTGCAAATGCTGCCACTTTTTCACTAGTGCGGGACAGCGATTAGGTCGTATTGGCTTGTGATAGGACGTGGAGAGTGAATTTGTCAGGGTTTTGTTTTTTATTTTATTTTATTTATTTTTCCTTTCGCAATCTATTATTGTAATTGATGCGATATCAGTCTCAAATGCAGTTATGAAGACACCTTCCCACGGCGCTAAGGCAGATGCACATCACCTATGACGTCTACCCGCTTACCTGCTGAATCCTGTAAGCAGGCAGATTAGCTTACCCACCCTAATTTACAGGCGGTTCAGCCTCCTGTTGGTCCTGCTTGTACTCAGTACTGGCACTGTGATCGTCGTCCGCCTCTACTAGTGGCATCTGCTAGTAATGCGTGCCCGGTGATGGGGACATTGAGAATTATTCATCTTGCTTAATCATAACGCATCTCAGGATGTTCTCACCTCTGCGCTCGCGGATTGTAAGTGCCGCCCGGTTGGGCACCTGTCGTAATGTGCGACTGGTTTCTACCACAACGTACCCTCAACCTGTCTCTCCATTAGCCTTTGATCTTCATGCGCCTGCGAGCCCCAAGGCCGATGAGAAAACAGCGCCGATAATCTTCATGCATGGCCTCTTCGGATCTAAGAAGAACAACAGAGCAATCAGCAAGTAAGCGGCATTTAATCTTGCACCGCGGCATCTCGACTTACAACTTCGGTAGAGCCCTGGCCCGGGATCTGAAAACCCACGTATATACTGTGGTAGGTGAATCTCATGGGAACCAACTAGTAACGACAGTCATGTTGAATAAAGAGTATAAAGGATCTTAGGAATCATGGAGAATCTCCCCACGATCCCCGTCACGACTATCTTGCCATGACTGAAGATGTATTGGCCTTCATTGACCAGCATGGTCTCAAAGAGCCTACTTTGATAGGTCATTCCATGTATGCCTTGGCCTTTGCAAGACCACTTGAAATCCTACAATCGGCTGATGTCATGATAGGGGAGCCAAGACGGCCATGTCTGTTGCCCTCCGTTCACCAGAAACGGTTTCAAGGGTTGTCGCAGTTGACAATGCCCCTACCGACGCCACGCTCAGTAGAACCTTTGCTTCCTATGTTCGAGGGATGAAGAAGATCCAGGAAGCTAAAGTCACCCGCCAATCTGAAGCAGATGCTATTCTCCAAGGGTACGAAGAGGTCAGTACCACTGTTACCTCCATATGCGCTCTCCAGGACTGACTGTTGTAACAGTCGCTGCCGATTCGCCAATTTCTGTTAGGAAACTTGTATCGTTCACAAGAAGATGGGATTCAAAAGTTTCGCGTTCCTCTGGATATCCTAGGTCGATCACTCGACCATCTGGGAGACTTTCCTTATAAGAATCCAGGCGAGGCACGGTACACAAAGCCATCCCTTTTCGTTCGAGGCACTCAGAGCAAATATGTGCCAGACGACGTGCTGCCCATCATTGGTCAATTTTTCCCACGCTTTCGATTGGCCGACGTTGACGCCGGTCACTGGCTAATATCGGAACAACCTGAGGCTTTTAGACAAGGTAATTTAACATTCTAAAGCACGCTTGTGAATGATCCATGTTTACTGACATGCGGACGCAACAGCTGTGGTGAGCTTTCTGCAAGAGCCATGAAACGCAATGGAAACGGAGCCTGGATGATAATCTCCAATAGAGAACTATAGAGGAAGACTTAGACGTTATAGAACATTTTACAGCAATATTTTGACAGCTTAACCATGTTAACAACCGTTGCCTTTGTTTCTAGCCTTTGTCAAATGAGCACATTACCATAGACTTCAACGTTGTACTATTCAAACGTGTTTGATGTGATTCTGCGCCCCCCCCTTGAGCTCAATATTCGTGATAATTGTTTTATTTACTGAAACAAAAGTGTTCAATTCCTTGTCTGCCCAACAAATCCTTCACATGTACTCACAACCACACGAGCCAACACACACACTGTATACAAAAGTACATGCCACCCGGCTTGGCACCAAGCGTTTTAGCTGGTACCACCTCACCTACTCTACATCATACCCCCCCTGCTTCTGCTTGAATCACCCAGCCTTAAGTTCCCTAGCTCAGCCCGTTGTCACTACGCTTCCCTTGCTTGAAACTCCATGCTGCGTTTGCTCATTGCAAGGTACGACGCACAAACCCGGTACCTCGAGAAGCAGCGTTAGACTGGGAGGTAAGTCGTTACCGCTGTTGCAGCTGCTGGCCCCGTGCACATCAGCGCGAGTGCAGCCCAGCCCCCGATGCCTGCAGGCGTCCTCAGCCATGATGTGAACGACGTTGCTGCTCGTCCGCGGTCTTCCCTCCTTGAAGTTGAAGCTCGCATTCGCCATTAAACCCGCCGACTATCCTCGGGCATGTTGCCCTTAGTACAGACGCACCCTCGCGTGGTGCCAATCAACTTCGACGCCTTTGGACCATCCACGGGCCACGGCGCCAGGCCCGAGTCTGAGAGACGAGCCATCGCGTCGCCCTACTACCGCTCCTCACAGCCATACCATGGCTCAGCCACTTCTTCCGCCCAGGCCTCGCGAGACTACGACTATCATCTGCGCCGCAAGACTCCACGGGGCACCATCGATGCTGGATACGATGGATCGCCGACGCAGCTGTCGCCTGGCCCGCCGCCACTCAAGCAAGTCATCCTTCCGACGCCCTCTGGCATATACCCGTATCAGCCTCCGAATAACTTGCCCTTCCACGCCAAGTCCCGTTTGTTGGAGCATGATCAGAGAAGTCTGGGGCAGGCTCCTCTGACATCGCCGTGGACTTTCGGCAATGAGAGGCCCAACTTTGTTCTTTCCAGCGGTTCCTCAATACCCCTCCAGCCTGGCCTTCCTTGGCAGACAAATGGATACCCCATGTTCAACCAGATTCCAGATGTCTATCAACCGCTCATGAGGGCAGCAGAATACAATGTGCGCGCCTTCTGTCCGCCCCCGGGCCCGACGCCTGATACCGCGACGTTTGATCAGTTTGGTTGGCAGTTAGGTGCCTCGCAGCGAAGCTATGGCCATCTCGACATGTCTCGACAATTTGATCAACTGAGTTTACCACCCGGTCTCTCTGGGAACTTTTTGTATCACGGTTCGGATGCTCAGCTACCTTATAGACCGACAACGGACTTGAACGTCAATTTCAACATTCCACAGCCCCCGCAACCATTGCTACAAGGAAGTTACCTGGGCCAGGGCGCAGTCGTAGAGAACCCCCCTACCAGCGAACAATATGCTGTTCGGTCGAGTTTTACGGAGAAGGCCTATTCACAGGCTCAGGAACATTATGTTGAACTGCTGGCCTACCTGCAAACTGCCAAGAGATTTGATCAGATGAGCGGTGGCGGCAGTTCCAATTCAAGGTTCAAGATCCTGGTATTCCCAAGACCCCCCAAAGCCAGAAAAGAGCATCTTGGCACCATGCGAGATGTGTATCGTAGTGTTGAGCGACCCGTTTCATCAAAGCTCGTGCCGAATAGCCACCCCCGGGCCCTTACATCCAACATTGAAGATACCTTGAGCAATAACACAAGACCACAGGTCGTGCAAGATGCCCATGTGGAAAGTCGCCGGTCCAGCAGGTCGACATCGCAATTCCACGTTTCGCCTGCTGCGTATACCGCGTCATCGTCACTTGGGACACTCGGTCCCGCTGCCATGGCGAAAGCGCTACCCATTCTGAATGCAAAAACCTCGTTGGATATTTTGAAGAATCTGTGTGAGCAAAGTAATTGGAAATGGATTGATGGAATTTTACTCGGTGGGTGTCTTTTATATGGCCTCTCACGGTTCGAAGATGCCGTGGAATGGTTCTCCAGAGTTCTTGCTCTAGATTCAAGGTTCGACCTGTTCCAGATGAACTATCAAGTGGTTGTTCTATATCTGACTCAGATTATAGCCATGTTGAGGCTATCACAAACATAGCCGCTACACTCTATTGCCTAAACCGCCAAGAGGAAGCTGAGCAGCATTGGCTTAATGCCATTAAGCTATGCCCTGCTCATTTAGAAGCTACGGAACAGCTCGTTGGATTGCTGTACAAAAAACGCAGCCGAGAGGCCATCGACATCATCTGCTTTGTGCAACAAGCGTTGAAATTACCCAAAGGAAATTCAACCCGGTCTACCTACCCCCCACTCGGTGTTCGCTCCGTGTCATCTGATGAACATTCTCATAGCCAACAATCAACCGCTGTGCAATATGGTTTCCAACCCGAGACTACCCCCCTAACCGGTGGCCACAACCTGAGAGGCACTGAATTCGGGTCTAGCGGATACGCGCTCCCCAATAGTGAGAATGGCAGGATCCTAGCATTGGTTCATGCCAAAGGCACAATACTATACGGCTTGAAAGACATTGAGAGAGCTTCAGAGGCATTTGAAGAAGCCGTACTGATCAGTGTCGGGGAGCGCATACGAAGCGTTCAAGAATTGGTAAATCGAATCCATGCTGTACTTTCGCCAGCCGGCTCTTTCCCAGCTGGCAATGATCAAAGACCAGTTTCTCGGCGACCTCTTTTGCTTCCTCCTGAAAAGGCTCGCCAAACTGCTCATCTCGTATTTGCTGCGGGCGGCGGAGGCAGCGAACTGCCTGGGCTGGCATTCGTCCCCGAAGGTGCCGCCAGGCGAGTCGCTGTGCAGACAACAAGCAATGCTCTGCTCTCTCTGGCCAAGATATTTCAGGATGCCATGTCTGGGGGGAGCATTGTTCCCAGTCTGCTCAGACAACCCTCAGGGATCGGCGACATCCTGGCGTTGTATTATCTATCTCTTTCTCTCCAAGAAAGCCCCTCTACCGCGAACAATATCGGGATCCTCCTTGCGGGTGTGCAGCAGCAAATGGCTCCCAATAATACTAATACACCAACAACAGCGACTTCTCGGCCTAATTTGCCTGGCGTCGTGCCGGGCAGTGGTCTTGCCCTCGCTTTGGCGTATTACAACTATGGATTGCGTCTTGATCCCAGACATGTTCACCTACACACCAATCTGGGTAGCCTCCTGAAAGATGTTGGGCAGTTGGACCTCGCAATCCAAATGTACGAGCGAGCGGTTTCATGCGATAGAACGTTTGATATCGCCTTGACCAACCTAGCCAATGCTGTAAAAGACAAGGGTCGCATAAAGGATGCCATTGCGTACTACAGACGGGCGGTGGAAGCGAATCCAGAATTCGCCGAAGCCGTCTGCGGACTCTTAACAGCCCTCAACTCTGTATGCGATTGGCGTGGAAGAGGTGGAGCGCTTCTCGAATTGGGCAAATATGACCGATGGCACGTCGATGATAAAGGCACCCTGGTCGACGTGCAGACGGCCATGCATGGGAGCGGCCTCACACAACGAGTGATTGATATCATAAGTCACCAGCTGGGCGATGCGTCGCATTGGGGCCGCAACATACTACAACAGCCGACTATCCATGCGTTGGCGCAACAGCTGGGTGACTTCTGTCGTACACCTGGATTCAGCTTGGAGTTGGCAATAAGCGCTTGGGCTGGTGAACCATGGGAAGGCTCACGTCTGGTACGCCTCGTGGAACGGGCTGCAAGAGTCATTCTATGGAACTGGTATCATGACAAGTACGTTGCTAAGAGGGAGGTTACGCCTTCACGCTATCTCCGACCTCAGTTGCCTTCCTCTCTCACCATTCCATCTGCGCCAACTGTACTTCCTTTCCACACTTTCACCTATCCTCTATCCGCAAAGGACATTCGATCGATCTCTCAACGTAACGCAATGCGAATATCATGCACGACTCTTCGAGCTCCTTGGCTGCCAGCTACTGTGTATCCACCACCACCTCCGCCAAATCCACACTTGAATGTTGGATATGTGTCGTCAGACTTTAATAACCATCCGCTGGCTCATCTGTGAGAAACATTCCCCTTTCCCATGTAACTCTTAACATATGGTGGAGCAAAACTAACAGGCTTGTGCCTAACGCAGAATGCAATCAGTGTTTGGATTTCACAATCCTCAGCGTGCTCGGGCTTTCTGCTATGCCACCACTCCAAGTGACAGATCTATTCATCGACAGCAAATTGAAAGAGAGGCGCCCGTTTTTCGTGATGTCAGTTCTTGGCCAGCGGATAAGCTTATCGAACAGATTATTCGCGATGAGATTCACATCTTGGTGAATCTCAATGGCTACACGAGAGGCGCTCGCAATGAAATATTTGCTGCCCGCCCGGCCCCAATCCAAATGTCTTTTATGGGATTCGCGGGAACACTTGGTGCCGAGTGGTGCGATTATATACTCGCAGACACAACTGCTATCCCACCGAGCACTTTGCGCCCCTGGAGGGTGAATAGCAGCATCGATGATGTATTTCACGACCAGACCGAGGGCGATGAACTCCAGTGGATGTACTCGGAGAACATCATTTTCTGCCGGGACACCTTTTTCTGCTGCGATCATGCACAGTCGTGTGATACCGATGAACGCGGCATGACCTGGGAGGACGAAGAGAAACGACGATGGAAGATGCGAAAGGAGCTGTTCCCAACGATAGCAGACGATGTCATCATATTGGCCAACTTCAATCAACTTTACAAGGCAAGTGAAGGATGCAGAGATGTCATGTCGATCGTGATCTAACTTAATGATAGATTGATCCTACTACTTTCCGGTCTTGGTTACGGATCTTGGCCAGGACCCCCAAGGCTGTTCTCTGGCTGCTACGGTTCCCCGAACTGGGGGAGCAAAACCTGCGGCAAACAGCTGAATCCTGGGCCGGGGCAGAAGTTGCTAGTCGACTCATTTTCACTGATGTAGCACCAAAGAACCAGCACATCACTAGGGCTAGGGTGTGCGACATGTTTCTCGATACTGCAGAATGCAATGCTCATACCACTGCCGCCGATGTCTTGTGGTCAAGCACACCCCTTCTAACCTTGCCTCGATACTCGTACAAGATGTGTTCCCGGATGGCGGCATCCATCTTGCGAGGAGCGCTACCGAAGACGGCAGAAGGCCGACAAGCAGCACTGGAATTGATTGCAGATAGCGAAACGGAATATGAGGACTCGGCCACAGAGTTGGCCGGAGGGTTAACATACGAGATAACGGAGGAAGGATATGGCCGGGGTAAGGGGCGTCTGGCAGAATTACGGAAATTGCTGTGGGACAGCAAATGGAAATGCGGACTCTTCAACACTCGTCGATGGGTAAACGACTTGGAAATGGCTTACGAAGAGGCATGGCGGCGGTGGGTTGCGGGTAAGAGCGGCGACATATACCTATGAATGTTCTCTCTAGATGGCGCTATTCGTTGTGTTTATTTATGGGATACATGAAATTTCGGGCGTTGCATGAAAGGAGAAACGCAAGTACTCCCAATGCCATGGGGCTTGACGTGTATCTACCTAGCGGGCTAGTGGATGCTACGGACAGCATTGATACCTTTTTTTAATGGACTTTTGGATTCTGCCTGTAGATGGCATTGCTACTACTACTTGATTTATCTACTATTATTTGCTTGGTGAAGACGGTGACACTGGAACGCAGGAGTTGATGCTTTTGAGCAGTATGATGCAATATGTAGAGCGAAGGATTACTCCATATTGGGTTGTGATTCTTGACTTCTATATATCTACATCTGCCCCTATTCTCGGGTAACCCCTTTGCTCGACGTAGACGCCAATAGATTTGAAGAATTGCTTGAGAGTACCCTCAGATATGGACTCAACCATCGGCAGCACCCAGATGACCATGGCTGCATAATACCGGACAGGGTTTGGGGGTCCTTGGTGGAACACAGGAGATGGGCTCCATGCAAGAGACGACGGGCTTTGCTTCAAGACAACATGGTGGGTGAGCCGGTACGCAGAGCGAACAATGTTCAAGGCAAGGGGTAAAATTAAACTGCGTAAAAAAAAGAGAAAGAGAGAGAAAAGTCTTGAGCAAAAGCAAATTGTGGAAAGAAGATTATGCCTTAAGTTGTCAATAATTTGGAGAATTACCTGAGAGTACCTCGGATATTTCAATAAGCAAAGGCCAGTACCGGAAAACTTATCTTCTTAATTGCCGTACTAAATTTGAAAGCCGTTGACGAGACAAAGGAGATGTGCGCAAAAATAATTCCTCTTGAGTGCGAGGGGAAAAAAAAGGTTAACGACATAATCCTCACTGCACAATTGTTTCTTCGCTATCAGTCGTGAAACTCTCGATTAAGCGTTCCTCACATGGTATGCTGCCATTCTCATCTGGCTTGAATTCTGAAGTGTCTGCTGCAAAGGGCATCTGGGGTAATGTTGAATATAGCAAGAGTTGGCCGTGTCTGTGTTCTCCACGGCCAATTCTGCCTTTTCGTGATGGTTCCAGAAGGTTGTTCTCAGAACGATGTCTCCAAAGCTGCCTTTTTGTGTTCAAGCGAGCTGCTAAATCGACGGTGTCGCTGGATGAAGCTATAACCAAGGGGAGGAGAGGTTAATATCTAGACAGAGGAGGCTGTGATAGCTGGGATTGAACCATGACTTACACGTTCGCCTGCCTTGGCCACCCTTACCCTGAAGAAAAGGAGACTCAAGATCATATTCACCAAATCGAGATTCCCCTGAATCCGCCACTTCAAGCCCGTTTGTCTCTGCCATATGCCCACCTCTCCGAATAAGACTGCCTGATCGAGCCAGTGCCACAGCTTCGACGCCTTTCCTAGAAACTTTTTGAATGATGAGCTCTAGCCGCTTGATCTCAGCTTTGTATCGCGCCTCTTGGGCTGCCCAGTCGGAAACAAGGGCTTTGCTCCGCTCCTTGTCCTCTTGCCGCGTTGCTTCCAGCTGGATGACTTCTTTCTCCTTCTTGGATAACTTTATCCGAGCTTTGCTGTAGCCTTCGATGAGATGGAGCACATACGACGTATACTGGGGTCCCAGCGTCGGTGGCGTCGAAGATACCATGATGGTGGTTCGCAACACATCAGCCATTTCGTTCACAGATGGCGTGTGTTGGAGTCTATCGGCCTCCTTGATAATGATATCGTTTCCAGAATCTGCAGGCGAGTGGTAGAACCCAGCCAAGGGGCGTGGAGCAATTCTTAGATGGTTCGCTTCAAAGGTGTCTTCGATTCCGGCTGCATCGTAGGTAGTCAAAGGGGAACTTGGAGTGCGACATCGTTGGCCTGGAAGAAGCCGCATCCAGCCAGAGTCTGCCATTTTGGACTAGGATATTGTAAACACCATCTGTTGCGGTTTGATGGAACTTGTGTGATGAGTGAGAGAGAAAAGTTGAAGAAAGGCAGGAAAGGTGCCAAGAAAGGAGCTGTTTTAGAGCTGGGCGGTCAGGTGTAGCAGCTTTCTGCCAGCTGGGAGGTGAATAGGGAGGAGAGGTGTTGTTACAGCACCTGGGGAAAGGCCAGAGAGGCAATCAAGTTACTTGTCTATGCATTTTAATTACTTCATGATCTCTGCTAATCTTGTTATTCATCTTAGTATCTATGTGCCTTTTGGTATGCATTTTCTGAACTGTTGCCAGGAGATGAAGCGTCTCTATATATATCTCTAGGATGCATAGTGAATGTCAACTGTTTTACCTATTTCTCTCTAAGAAACGGCATTTCGTCCTCCTGGAATTTCTAATATCTTAGTTGAACCCAAAAATCGATTTTAGAATTACTTAATCTCTTTGCATCTGTCGCGGCATTGAGCTAGAATGAACCTTTTGAACGTTATCATCGCTGTATTACCCCTAATTATCAGCGTCGCGGATATCCGACGGTCATTCGAGTTTTGGTACCTCATTCACTGTTGGGAGGGGCCGACGGAAGCCCGAGTAGTGGTTTTGTCTGGCCAAGGAGCGGTATGGAGATGCAGCCATCCTTTGGTTCCTAAATGGTTCGTAGGAACTTGTGAATACGTCTTCCTCCATAACCGGTGGGAGAAGCACAAATGTGGCTAAGTGGGTATATGAGTTCGACGACTTCTTGAATGAGTTTCTTGGGGGTGTGACTCTTCCCTTACTGAGTGATGGTAGGCTGTTGTGTACCTCCAAGATATGTTGTTCCTCCTTTTGGTGAACGATAGCTTGTGAATGGTGACGAACGTAACTAGGACGTGGTGCAACAGCCCCTATATCATCATTGCTAAGATACTCCAGGTCCGACTCTACGTGGGAAGCCGTTAATTCATCATTCCGCTCAACATCCGCAGTGGCTTCGTGTCGAATATTTTCAAATCTCTCCCATAGTCTGGCATTGTATAACAGGGAGTTGTCATTCTCAGGGACAAGATTGAGATCGCACAGATAGCTCCAAGCACGATAGTGGAAACAAAATGTCGCAAATGGTGCATCCGTCGCGTCCTGTAAAATCCATTCGTAGTAAATTGCATCTTCAGGATGCTCAAGGAGTCCAGTTGAAGGCGATCTATCATGCTATATGTTAGCTAGAGCTTATCACGATATTCCTCTTTCCCTTCTTACTCATCTCTCCCAGGAGACAACTTACATTATCCCATATCGTTCTTGATCTCGGTGTTCAGTCAATTGCGGAGTGCTTCTCCGGCGGCTTTTTGCTCGAAAGACTTGGACTTCGATTAGGCCTCCGTCATCGGCTGCAGCAATAGCATCAGGGCCCGGAGAAAAACAAAAGGACCTTGATTCAATCCCGCTTCGTTTGAGCAGCATTCCATCTTGCTTCAAGTGCCATCTGTCACTTGGCTCAAAGAGGGCTCGTGTGATTGTGCCTGATGCTGTACCAGGTTTAATCCCACAACTAGTAATGTTTCGGCCGTTCATGAACAGCTTAAAGAAAAGGTAACATGAGGGCTCTGGATGACGATGAATGGAATATTGCACCCAAAATTGCGAACCAGGTGCAGAAGTGACATAAACGGAGGCTCTTGGTGCTGTCTTTTGGATCCGAGGAGAGTCCAAGCCAGGAGAACTCACATCATTTTCTTGGACCTTCTGAGAAGCTTCAACAACAGATGCAACGTGAACTGAGGAGGCATCAGGATGTGGGAATTCTGGTAGCAGCACCGAATCTGGTTGAATAACGAGAGACAGTTCGATGCCTCGCAAACAAGGCATGGTTGCTTGAAGGAGAAGGGAATGTCTTCCCTGATGATGGCATGGAGGAGAAAGAACTAGTGGTTGGTGAGAGGAGGAAAACCAGGGCCTGCAGTTTTATTTGTTAGAGGTCCATATTAATTGGTACATTGAAGGTCACAGGGCGAAGGGCCTTTAGGGAACACGTCAGTTAGTGAATGAAAGCCCTGATAGCACTCAGTATTCGCTACAAAGCCACATCGACAGCTGTAATGGAAATGGCAGACGCGGCACATGTACACGGTTTACCCAAGTGTTGTCTGCCAACTGCACCGGGCCGTTACAATAAAACCTTGAAAAATTAGTAGTCGGTCTGCTGTTAAGACGCGGCCTTAGCAAACGACGTATATAAATGGAAGCGAGTATGAGCTAGGTAACTCATTCGCTCACGCATCTTCCAGGTTGACCAAGTGTCACACAATTGCCCGCGTTCTCTGATGGATGAAAATGTACGTCGAATTTGTACAGACTTGCAGCCTCCAAGCTGACAGAATTGGTTGCCAATTCACAATCAACATCCGAAGAGGCTCTCCAATTCCGCCTGCTTTTCCTATTTGAACTTGCTGCGCTATCTATGCGCGCCAAGGGGGTTGTAGTTGCGCAGAAGAAATCGAACTCCGCCACGTCTATTGCCTCAGTTTCCCTGTCCAAGCACCGCTTTTGTGTCCTCCGTCTTCCCTAGCAGTCCCAGATTCCGGATCTGGCTGGCACTCGGCGCATCGTCTCGTGCGGTTGCTGATTGAGCTCGGGCATATGCGGCTTGTAGGGCCAGCGCTCTCGCATGCTATTCATTGTCAGCCGTGTCCGCCTCGTCCAGCACTTGAGCTCTCAAAACAAACCTCCTTCTTGTGATGCAGGCACTCGTAGTAATCCTCTAGTACAGGCGAGCACTTCTTCTTGCCTGAGTCGTCTGCGGCGGATGTGTTGACGACATAGCAGGCCATGACCTCCTGCCAGAAAGGAAAGCAACGGCCGACGCCTAGAAATGCGGTCAGTCAATGTCTAAAGAGATCCCATTGAATAGGAACACATACCGCCATGCATGCCATATCCTGAACTCATGATGTGCCGAGTGGTTGTTTGTTGCGACGCCTAGGTTCGCCTTTTCCTTCAACCAATGATGGCTGTCAAGGTTCGGTACATCGGGATTATTGCTCGTTCTCGTCTGAGCGCTAACAGTAGTACCTTTGCACTGTAAGCATATTACACTATAATTTAAGTATTCATAGATAGGATATCTGCCCCGTTATTCAACTAGCCCCGCTATGTAGCTGGAATGCCCCCCCATTGGCGAATCGGGACAGTTAAGTCCCGCTAATTCAATAACCTTCTTTGATGACAGCATCGAAGAATGTTGGCAGGTGATAGCTAATAGACCATAGCTATTTTCATCGTTGGTGAGCGATCAAATTGTTTTCCAGGAGATTTGTCAATTTCAACATACCGGCCCCAAGGCCTGGATTGTCCACAGCCAAATTGTGGGAAAGAAACTCACCAATATGAGCTCCTCGCTCTCACCCGGAAAGGTGTTACTTCTTGCCGCCCACTATGCAACACATGGCGATATTGAGAGCTTGGCCCGCTTGTCCAGTCAGCGAGCCAAGGTGCTGCATAAAGAGCTACTGTTGAGGATTATTCTTACTTACTTGCCTGAGACTGTGAAGCCTTCTGCCTATGTTGGATTCTTACTCGCACTCGATGGAGATGATTTTGAAGAGTATAACAAGGGCGAATTAGACACAACTCCTGTCGACGACTTGTCTGAAGATGAAGCCTCCAAGAAGGCAAGGAAGCTACACCTGCAGCAACTTACGTCCGTCGATGCTCCAGTCAGCTTTGAAGATGACCCGATCACCAACTTTCTTATCCAGAGGTCATATAAGATGGATAGCGAAACTGGCCTTCTCTCACAAGTTCCAAGTTTACTGGCCATATTTCATTCTCGTTCACCAGAACTATCATCTTGGATTACGTCGACCGTGCTTCCGTACGTAAGGAGAAACGTGGAGTATTATATAGATGAGATCGCTCCATACTCTCTTCTCGACTTTCAAAAGCTCTCGGACCCAGCCGCCGTGCTGTATTTACTGTCACGGACTGGAGGTCGCGAGGAGGATAGAGCCTTCATCGGCCGTGATATTAGAGGCTTGGTTGGGCCATGGCTCCAAGCGAAGTCTCGGTGGACATTAAAACCTACCAGTGGCGAGCATACCGCCAAGGACCTGGAATCGCCATTGTCTGCTGGGTGGGAGCAGTTCCTCGAATGGCTTGTCAGCCAAGCAACTTCTTCGTGGCCCGTCGTTGTCGCATTAAGCGAGCAATGGGGAGGTCCCGCAGACCTGGATCTAGGGGAGGCGGCCAGCTTAGAATTCACAGAGTCTCAGCAACAGTATTTGCTACACAGCTATGCACGAGCGATACTTGCATCAGCATACCTGGTATCCGAAGCCACAGTGGGAGCACTTCCCGGCGCCTATCATATGGCCATCAAGATGAGACGGATGCTTGGCTATAGGGAGATTCCTCCCACACTGGAGGTGGCTATCTCTATTCTACCCAGCCTGTCAGGATTTGACGTGTCGTCACTCATTGGCATGAAGACTGCGACATATATGAGAAACGATCTACTTGAAGAAAAGAATCCATTAACTTCTCCTACAGAGGGAGCAATGAACTTATTAATAGCATTGATACTGAGTGCCTTTATCTGTACCAGCTTGGGTGTACCTTGCTCTGTTAGAAAAGCCGGAGACTTGGCCTTTATTCAGGATCTTCGTGAGCAAAAAGGAGAAATCGCCAAGCTTATTCGGAGCGCGTCCGCGCACGTACAGGGAGGCGAAGAGTGGTATTGGTCACAAGTAAGGGACCGGTTATTATGGTTGAACACTTGGGGTTCCGATGAGGACCAGCCTGGCAATTCCGAAGCTGTAAGGGGCATTATCGGAGCAGTTCCCAGGGAATTCATTGAAACGGAAATTCTAAAAGCTCTCCTCTCCAACTCATGTACGATATGGCCGTTTATTCGACTACCTTTACTTTACTAACATGTGTGCTATAGGCTATACTCTTGCTAAGAGCATCTACGAAGATAGTCCCGAGAAGCCTCTTGCCGCGGAAATCATACAGGACACAGTATACCAGGCAGCCTTGCGTGCTTTTGATAATGCTTCTAACCCCAATCGGTCAAGAGGAGGACTGAAGAAGTGTGATGAGATGTAAGAATGCGGCCTTGTGCATTCAACGTCCTGAAGAAATCATCACTGACATCATCTCCAGCATTCACTCATTTCCAAAAACATTAACCAATACGCACCCAGCTACCAAACGAGTGGAAGCCCTACTACGCTGCACACATGCCTTGAGTGAATACCGACTTACGCTTAAGCAAGGCGAGCCGTTTAAGCCTGTAGTCCTTCGAGTTCACTCCGATCCAGTATCAATAATCGACAAAGTCCTGGAGCAAAACCCAAAGGCATACACCCGTCTCCCTGAGTTCCTGGAGATGGCAGCGAACATGGTGCGTGCCGGCATCACACAACAAGCCCGCTCCATCAAGTTTGACTCAACGACGGGAGACAACAGCAAGGAGCTTAGTCGAGCTGAGAAATTTATTACAGCTCTGTGCATAGAAGCTGCGCTGAGGGAAGACGATTTCGAGACGGCATACTCTTATGTGGTTAGTCGCCTGGAAACAATCGTCCCCAAGGGAACCCAAGCGCGCGCAAACGAAGAAGACGAATGGTCCTGGAAGGCTGCCTTGAAAGCTGGGCAGTACATTCGTACCGACCGAACCCTGCTGCCAACACACCTTGGCATCGCAAGCGGCAATCCTGAGATCCGTCACTTGGAACAGCGCATAGAGTGCCTCGCCACGGCGCTGCGTGTTGCACCCACCTCCCAGCTCCAGGAAATCCTCAAAACGTTCCGGCGTTGCGAAGAGCAGCTGGACTCTGCCATCAACGAGGAGGCCGCCGCTGAAGCTTCTTGGGCCTCGGCCGGAGAGGTGCCCGGCGCTTTTGAGTCGTCTACTCCTCATAACCCGCATTCGACACGGAATATGACGGCCACCGCTGCGGCTAAACAGGCGGAGGAGGCCCCAATGTCCCTGTTTGACCTATCACGGGCAACCGCCAGCGTAGCACAGCGCAATTTCACAAGGCTGTCCAGCCTGTCATCGCTCGCTACTTCGACACCTTCAGCGCCATCACCAACTGGAGAACAGGCGCCACAGCGGCTACGGAAGAGGGATCAGCTAAGAGAGGCCGCCACTGGCACACTTGTGTCTGGAGTTGGCTGGTTGATTGGAGCAAGCGTCAACCGAGAACAAACAGAAACTTGATTTTTGATAATTTTTTTCAATGATTGATAGACGATATTCTACAACTGGCTCACTAGGCTGTTCTTAATTTGGTTTGAAACTATGGATGGAGTTGTCTTAGAAACAGACAGTGGGATATGGGGTGCAGTGTCGGACAATCCCAGGTATTAGACCTCGAACTACAGCGCATTCGAGCAAGTCTCGCCTTTACCCAGTTTGACATGATAGTATACATAATACATGGCGTTACGACCTGCTTGCTGGCTTCGGCCAAAATAGAGTGTACCTCGTGATCTTGACAGATTGAAGCTGGTGATGAGTACTCTAGAGTGTGCATATCGGACCACTATGAAACGAAGGTTCTCCGTAGGACATTTAATGTTGGCTTCGCCAGAGCTGGAGTTGGTAGCGAATTTGGCCCCCATGCGTGCACGCCATATCATTCCTATACGCGAATTAGTATATCAACTAGTATGGTAGTCAAAGATCGCAGAAGGCAGTAGAAAGTAAGGTAATAGAGAAAACAAAATTGAGCAGTCGTTGAGAAGTCCAGTATAGCCAGGTGAAGTGAAGTGATGTCTCTGGTTTTGAACTAAGACGTAGCAAAGAAGGCGAAGCATGTATCTGATCGAGAGGAGTATCTGACCAAGCTCAAGACTGGCAGAAGCTCCGGAATCTGATTTAGAGAGTTGGCGTGCACGAAGCCTTACTAGATGAAGGAGTTGGGTAGATGTAACTGCATTTGGCGTGCGTCAAGAGAGAAGAGATATTACGGCGAAATATTTGTTGGCTGGCGTAGGATGACAGAATTTACGTTGGCTACTGGCTTTATCAGAATGGTGGTTAGCAGTCTCAAGGCGTTAAATGCGTTCATTATCGGCTGGTATTAATCTGAATCCGAATGGTTGCCCGTCGACTCAGATTTTTGGCAGAACCAAGGTATTGTTTAAGTATTGACATCTGAAGCACGACCGGATTTTAGTGGTCCATTAGGGTCACTTCGTCAGGAAAAGAAGAAAGCAGGGCGCCTGGGGGGTTGATATTTGTTGGGCTGTTGTGAAAGGTTGTTAAACGGTATCAAGATGTTTTGGCGCAACGTGACGAGTGATGGAAGTGTTTGATTCTGCAAGATCCGGAAGCTGCCCATAAACGGCCAATGCGCAACTCTGTAGCCGCAAGACCGACCAGCAAGAAAAATGTAAATATCAGCGGCGACGGCCGAAAACCCGATTTTGTTTTCCCTCCCTTAGCAGTCGCATATCGCACGAAACTCCTAATTGAGATCCTGACGAAGAGTCCACAGCTGTCCACGGAGGTCGACTGACAAACTGTGGACGAGACAAATAAAACAAGAACAACTAGAAAATAGGAAAAAGAAAAAAGCAGCAACAGGCAGTCCATTAATGACAATGAAGTCTTGTTCGTCATAGATCGATAAAGAGCAGCCAGAAACGACGGCATCATCAGTGCATAGCCGACTCGGGACCTGGTTCAATTTAGTGCCTATACATCAAACATGGCATTCATGGGCGATTCAAACCTCCATATGACTCACGTGCCTCAGGTCGTGAGGCAGGCTCGCCGTATGCTGGGCCACTGCTGGCGGCTGGCTCTCGGGATCGGCCAGCGTCTCGGTCAGCAGTACGCTCGTATCGATCGCGGTCATATCCGCCGCTGCTGTTGCCACCACGGGCGCCGTAGCGGTCACCGCGGTCGCCGCGCTCTCCACGGTCCTCACGGTAGCGCTCGCGACCGTAGTTGTCATCGCCGCCGCCGCCGCCGCCGCCACCAGCGCCGCGCTCACGGCGCTCGTAGTTACGGTCATAGTTGCGGTCGTAGGTGCGCTCAGAGTCTCTTCCTCCGTAGCCGCGCTCATCGTATCGGTCTCGGTAGTTGCGATCATAAGCACCGCCGCTGCGCTCATCATATCGTCGCTCGTATCCGCGTTCATAGTTGCGGTCGTAACCTCTCTCATTGCCACGGTATCGGTAGTCATCGCGAGAATAACCACCGCCGCCATAGCCGCCACGTCGGCGTTCATCGAAGCGAGCGCGAGGGTCTGTCATTTCGGATGTCTGTCAGCATGGGAACAGAAGAAGGATGCATACGGAGCGAAATGCCAACTTACCTCTCTTGGGAGGACCAAAGTACTTGCCCGGTGTGGGAGTACGAGGGCGAGCACGACGGGCCTTCTCAATGCTCATGGTACGGCCTTCAATCACTTCGCCCTGGAGACCTTCCTTGGCAGCCTCAGCCTGTTCAGAGGTGACCATCTTAACGAATCCGAATCCACGGGATTCCTTGGTGTGCGGGTCTCGCATGATTTGGCACTTCTCAACCTCACCATACTTCTCAAACATCTTGGAGACCTCTGCCTCGGACAGGCGAGGGTGGATTCCGGTGACAAAGAGGTTGGAGCCGGGGTTAATGGCACCATCGTCATCCTCCTTGGGAGCGGGTGCATCTTTGATGTTGCTGCACATTGAGGTCAGCAAGCAGTGCGACAACGAGACAAGGCAAGACAGGACAAGCAAGGACAAGGTCAGGCTTACACGTCAGGAAGGCCAGGCGGCGACATGGAGCGGCGACGGCTGCCAGTGTCGTCGCGCGCAGGACGGGGAGAGGCGCTTCTGTTGTCACGCTCATAACGAGGAGCCTCGTCTAGCGAAAGGCACATGAGTTAGCGGCGGCCCAATTCATCGAATCCACGCGGCACAAACGCGTCGAAAAGCGTCGACATCACCATCGCCTATCGGGGTCGGGGAAACAAACCATCGTAACGGTCGCCGTTGGCGGCCTCGTAATCCATTGAAGTAGTCGCCATGGTTGCTGGGCGATTCGAGATGGATGAAAGTGAGCAGACGACAAAACCTGGTTGATTGGGTGATGGGTTGGCAGGCTGCTTCCGCTTGAAGAAGATGAAGGAAGGGTAGGAAAAAACTGGTGGCACACGAAAAGATGTACTGTGATAGACAAAGCCGATGATTAGGCGGGTTGGGCGAAACGCGAAACACAAAGGGCACAACCACCGCTAAGTTTGATCGCCGGTCAATGGAATCTGGGACAAAAGAAACGAGGCTGGAGCTTCGTTTGGCGGCTTGGCTTCTGCAAAGGAAGGGAAAGCTGGATCAACGAGGTAGCTCGCAATACGGGGAGCCTCGTCAAGCCAGTGCCAGTGCCAGAATCAGCTGTGAAGGCTACTGCGAAGCATGGGCCAACCGTGTGGCGACTTGCTATGGAGTACTCCGTGCAGAGCGAACTAAGGTACATGTAAGGCTTGCTAAGCAGCATACAATGGTCGAAACTCTAAAGCTTGAGCCCCAATTCTGCCAGCAAAATAATGATAAGTGATAAGTGTATCTACGTGCTATAAACTGAATTCGAAATTGGCATTATTGTTCATGCCAATCCAGTGTCAAGAGTCTTTATCGGGCTGGTGATAGACTTCACAGTATGAAAAAGGCCACAGAAAATACGTCATCCAGAGGGTTTGGCATTGATTACCTGTACTGTGCTAGGTGTAATGCCTACTTGGCCTACATACATAGGTGTCGCATGCTGAATATGTACTTTGGTTTATGCCTTTTTGAAGCAGCCTTTCTATTATCTCTAATGCCTTTATCAAAGAAGGTTTTCATTTCCCTCTGTTCCCCCTTCTTCTATTTCTATGGCTCTTCGAATGCGACTGTGGCTTGTTTCAGAATCAGTAGAGATGACAGCTCCCGTCCATGACAAAGCCCCCTCTCTCAAGAGCACAACTTAAGATTGAAGGCCATCCGCAGATGTTCCCGCACAAAGAGAACAGGCAAAAGGGCCAAAGAATCTGTTTCAGGATCCTGCTGCCCATTTCCGTCATGCCAATGCCTCCGTCAAACAACAAAGGTTACCAGACATCCTCAGGGTGTACCTCGTGTTTCTCGCCGTCGTCTCGAACGTGCTCCCCCTTTGAGTCCCTCTTCATAGATTTGCGCATGTCGAATGCATCCTCGCTGTCCTTGTCGGGGTCTGTGGCATGCTCCCCATAATAGTCTTTGACAACACGAAAGACGCTGTAGCCTAGTTCTTTGTAAAACGCAATGGCCTTGGCATTGCTGCTGCGGACAAACAGATCCATGAACCAAGCATTGTGAACATCGGCGGCAGCCTCCAATTGTTCCACCAGGATTTTGCCAATACCTTGCCTCCTTGCTTCCGGCGCTACAGTCAGGGCCGTAATGTGAGCGTGCCAAGGAAGGTAATGTTCTGAGTATTTGTATGCATCTGGCGATGATTCAACTTTGCCCATAACTTTGAGCAGATATATCAATTAGCAGTGCGATGCGGCACGCTTGGAAGGGGTTAACCAACCATATCCAACGACGTTTCCTTCCGAATCCTCGCAAACTTGAAACAGTGAGGGCCATTTGGCATAATACTGAAGATAGAAGCTGAGCTCATAGGTCTCTGTTAGGGGATCCAGGTTGCATTTTGAGAATTTATTGACGTCGTCAGGCCGAAATCGTCGGAAGGTGGTCATTGTCGCAGCTCGTAGCCCTGCTGTTCAATGATCGCCACTTATTGAGGAAGATTCAAGTTGTATCGCTTGAGGGTTATGATTTTACACTAGCAGAGCAACAGTCATAAACGATTCATGCTTGTGGGGGGGATCCCGTTATACAGGCCTGGTGGTGGAATGTTGGAGTTCGCTACAAGCCGAGAGAAGATTTCGCAACTTGGTTAAGCCCGCTTATACTGGCCATGAAGTAAATATGCAGCGGTTTTACATCTCACCAGATTAAAACTATGTAATAAATATTCCTTTTCTTCTTCGAAAACTAGATGATGTCATGTGTCCTTTTGAAATTTGGCATGTGAACAAGTTGTCAGCTCCTTTGTTCATTTCAAGGATCAATATGCTGAAGTGGGAGGGTTTCCCCCCCCTGCGCTACAGCAGATCAAGGTGTGCGGCAAAGCGAGTCAAGACTGAAATGCAGCAAGTACCTGAAAGGTACCTACATCGAGCTACACCGCCGCCTGTTCTTCACGCTATTAACGTTTCGTTTTCTGTAACAGAAAGTATCGACAGACAACTGCATGCCTTGGCATCTTATCGCGATAGGGAGCTGCTTACCGTATCTTTGGTTCCTGGCCGGGGGGGTTCATCTCCCGCTGCTATTTGACTTGATATTCGAACGACTCTGGTTCTCCTACCTAATGCCAGAATCCGGTTTCGAGGTTTGTGTTATAATAAAAGACACCTTACCTCACTCGCTAATCAGAAGATAGCAGATATTAATTCTGTAATCTGCGACATATTGCATCTATTCAAACCATAGAACTTGATCGTCAAGCTTGCGCTCAACCATTATGCCCGGGTCGCCACGAACTCCACGACACTCGCGCAACTCATCAGCAATCGACAGCTTCGCAGGATCACCCCAGATCCGACGTTTCTCGAGATCCTCCGCGCAAGATGCCATACCGTCGTTCCAGCACAGCCCAAATCAACATGATGGTCTTGACCTATCGGTATTAGGCGGTGGCGGGTCAGGGGCCGGCAACGGAATGGGAAATCTAGCTGATGAGTTGGCGGATGCATTTTCCGACTCAGGGGAAGAGGGCGACTACGACGCCGACCTGCAAGAGTACCAGAAATCGACAGACCAGCCAGGAGGTGATGATGGAGCAACACGGGGCCAGTCGGCAAACGACGAGACAAAGAGAAATGACGGCGATGCAGGCCTTCTCTCGCCTCGCCAAAAGGGTCACCAAAGAAAAACCAGTCTATATGATGGTAGCGATTACGGCTCCGACTCAGACCTCGATATCGCAGGCATACCTCCAAGTCTCATGGCCAAGATTGATGCTGTCGAAAACCTCACAATCCGCGGGACAGATAACTACGGAGGCACAGCAGACGATGTCTTGAAGCGGGTGATCCAGGAGCTCCGTGACCTAGGGTCGCAATCTAGCGTTGAGGGTAGCGCTTCGAGGTAAGACAAAGCCAAACCCAAAGAGATGGCCATGAAGAACGATTCTGGTGCTAACGTGAAGCCCCTTGCAGACTTATAACAGCACACTCGGCGCTGACGACGCATCTTGCGCACCAGACCCGTCAACTTCACAACCTCACCTTTCCCTTGCTATCCCCGCTTGCGCCGGCCCCTGACGTCGAAACGATTGATACGCTTCTGCCGTTGCTCATATCCCTCACAGAAGACATGCCACGACCGTCGACGTCGGCATTCAACTCACTTACTGCGTTGCATTCCATCACATCAGAACTGATACAATCACTGAGTTACCTTTCCGACACACTACACATGTCTCGTCAGACAACAGCTGCAGCCAGTCGGAGGCTGAAGAGCGCCAAAGAGCTCGTTGCTGAAATGAGAAAAGAGGATGAGATGAGGGAGCAGGGAGAGGAGTGGCTTACTAGAGGAAACTGGAGCGAACGGCTAGAGAAAAGGGAATGTGCAAGCGTATGCGGCGAGGTAATTGGCGGGTTTGAAGAGGTTTGCAATGGCTGGAGAGAACGACTTTTGGCCCAAGCAGAATCCCAGGCGTAAATAGATATTACATGACTGCATGGATAGAGAGGGACAGGATAAAGATGACGGCGGCTGCACTGATTAGCGAATGGCACCCTTTTTTAAATTCATATATTTCCGAAGTTCGTTTGATAGATAGAGTCACGAAATAGGACATTGATCATGGCCTCCTCAATAGAGAATTTATTACAATAGCAACATAGACAATCAACTCAAGCTGCAGGCTCAATGAAGGGACATACTCAGAGCCAGGATACAGTGGCTAGACAATAAGACGGATGCAGCTATTGCCAATCGGATGACGCTTCAATAAAAAAAAATTACTTTCACTACAGCCGTCTAGATCCATCTGTTCGGAAAGCAATAAAGTTCAATCTTGCGTGAAGTTATTTTAATGGTAGATGCTGCACAGCAGACTTAAACTCTTGGCTGTATCAACGGTTAATTTTCAGCCATCGGATATGATGCTCGAGGAACCGGAGGAAATGCCGCAAAGCAGGATTTAGTGGTTGAAGTTGAAGGTGGTCTCCTCAACAACGACGCTGATGATTATTGGATGTATGTCGTCAGGTCAGTCACGTCAAGGGTCTTTTAACTTGCAACCTCTTCAGGCAAAAGCAAGGTACCAGGTACGAGTGCTGAGGCCTCAGTTGACCAGTAGGATTCTGGTATCCAAGACACCACAACCGCCCCTTGCATCTGCCATCCGAAGCTCGGGTCAAGCAAAACTTAACAGCAACGTCCAGACGGCATCGTGACCCGATTACTCAGCGTCTGCGTCTGAGTGCAACACGAAACCAGACCCGTTGCGGTACGTCAGAGAAAAGTGAGCACATCGCCAACGCGAAAGTGGTGCGTCCAAAGAGGCGCCTGGCACGAAAAACGCGACTGCACAGGCGGGGCTGCCCAGGGCCAGGGAGGAGAGAACGGCGCTCATTGGGCGCTGTATTCACTGGAGAGACAGCACTGACAGCCAACCGAGCCACTAAGCGCGTCCACTGCGAGAGGCACCCCCATAATATTGACCTTGTCCCATGCAGGTGCAGCAACGTCGAGATTTCAAAACAAACAACAATAACAGCTGCAAGGACAAGGTGATGCGATGCTGCAGTGGGATAGTGGTAATGCGCCTGGTTCCTTTTCAGCCCCCCATCCTAATGGTGTGATGTGATCAAATTACAACTGATAGCAGCATCAATTTAATTATGTACAGTACATTGGCTGCAGACGGCCGTTCAATGCGCACGAGGCACGTGTGGGCGCATACAAGTACTCCGTCCGTACCGGAACAAAAGCAACAAGCGAGCGTTCAGCACTGCAAGCGCTGGGCAAGACGCGCATGCTAAATGCAGTCGGCTGGTGTTTAATTGAGTTTCCAGCGCAAAAACCGCCCTGCTTAAGACCCAGGGTACATGGTACTTATAGGTACCTTTGGACGGTAGAGAAAGCGAATGCCTTTTACTTTGATCAAAACCATCGAGTTTTTGGGTATTTGGGGAAAAACGCCGTTTGCATATCGCGTGAGTTAATTAAAAGCATGCGTTGCAGCCGTAGGGCTATATAGTTTTAATCAATCACAATAACAATCAAACTGATCCCTTCGCCCTGGTCAATGTTGTTTATTCCACTGCGGTGCAGCGAATGGTAGCAGCCAAAATGGCGTTCTGGTGTGTATTTGTTGTTCAGACGCAGCCCGCGTTTTCCCACTAGCACCTAAACCGTCCAGTATTATTGTTCCACCCCCCTTTAGCACGTTAACGCCCCCCAACCAGGCCTAGCCCAGCTTCTCGCCAGGCGCACTGCCATTTCCCCAGCAGCTTCAACCTCCCTCATCAGCCTCTCGCAGCTTTCACGAGCCCGTCTCGTCTTCATCGCCCCAACCCCCTCTCTTTGCCTCCTGCGCTTTTGCGAGACGGTTATCAAACAGCGACCGAACATCCCGGGGACATTCTGCTTCTTACGACTTTCTTTTGTATTTGGACCATTCACGTTCACCCGCCTGTGCGATCGCTTCTTCATTCGACACAAGAAACAACCACCCAGTGGCATGCGATAGGCCCCCAAACCCGCCCTCTCTTGGTTGACGCTGCTCCATGACCACCGGCGTTGGCCTCGCCCTGTGACTGGATGCGCGCTCGCTCGTTTCCTCACAGTCGCTGCTAGCATAACATCGTCCGTCTTTGACATCAACATCACCGTACACGCCATTTCCCCGCCACACAGCCCACGACCGAGCATCAAGGGTCAGATCCGACAGACGGTGCCGCTTCTGTCAGCCAGATCCCGTCCGCCAGGCCCAAATTCACCATCTTTAGCATCATATAAAGGACCTTTATTCAATCAGTCGATGCCATGGGTGCCTCCAAGAAGACCATGGGCGAGTCAAAGCTGCCCACCAATTCCGCTCGCATGTCCACTCCTCCTCCTCCATCAGATCGCGGCCGCCTAGACTCAAAACCAAATGCCGAAGGCAGCGGCACTGCGATGCGACAGTTGCGAAGTAGGACAAGAGCTAGTGATGTGACCCATCCAGCAGCTTTCGACGTCGATGCCGTCGACAATCTCCTGTTGAGGGAACTTCAGCCTCATCGTGAAAGCACTCCCGGAGCCAGTCCCTCTCGCAAACGCCAGAGGATAAATGGCGATCGGTTGGTCATCCCCCCACTGGGACGCTTTGCATGGTTCTAACAACATCTTTAGTTTCATCCCTACTCGCACTGGCCAGGATTTGCAGGCCAGCTTTAGCCTTCTGCATGAAGATGCCTCTCCCGCCACGCCGTCAAGGCATAAGAAAAGGACGCCGCAGGGCGAACTTCATTTCCAGAAGAGTACGAATATTTTCCCTCTCCCCCGGCAATGACAAAAAGCCAAGTGCTAACCATGACGTAGCCGAAGAAGCCAATCGCACATTCTCAACACTGTTGCGTGCGGAGCTGTTTGAGGGATCAGTGCCGCAATTGACACCCGCTCTCTCACCAGACAGCAACCTGCCAGCCTCTTCGCTTGTCAGCGTTCAGGATGGTACACGATCTCACACTCCTCCTAGTCACGGTTCCGTAGTAACCCTACCTTCATCACTCACCCCCTCAACCCCCCACAAGAATCTCTTCTCATATCTCTCACCACGCCAACATGGGCATCCTGTGGGCCATCTTACTCCATCCAAAACCCCGCAGAGTCGGCATGGCCCGAATCTGGATACAAGAGCAGAGATCTACAGTCTATCTCCTGTGCGTCTCGGTAGTCAGCAGATGCTCTTGAGTCCGCGTCGCCAACCTCGAGCAGTCAGCAAAGTCCCCTACAAGGTCCTTGACGCACCCGAGTTGGCAGACGACTTCTACCTCAACCTGGTTGATTGGGGGAGTGCAAACGTTCTGGGAGTCGGGCTGGGATCCAGCGTTTATATGTGGAATGCACAAACCTCCAAGGTCAACAAGCTATGTACGTTGGAGGATGATACCGTAACAAGTGTATCATGGATACAAAAAGGCACGCACCTTGCCATTGGAACCGGAAAGGGTCTTGTCCAGATCTGGGATGCCGAAAAAGCTAGAAGATTAAGGACCATGACTGGACACACGGCCCGAGTTGGGTCCTTGGCGTGGAATTCACATATCTTGACATCGGGCTCGCGCGATCGGCTGATATACCACAGAGACGTTCGAGCACCAGATCAGTGGTTCAAAAAGCTTGTCGGGCACAAGCAAGAAGTTTGTGGTTTGAAGTGGAACTGCGAGGATGGGCAGCTGGCCAGCGGTGGCAACGACAACAAGCTGATGGTCTGGGACAAGCTCTCAGACACACCGCTGTGGAAATTCTCAGATCACAATGCCGCCGTCAAGGCGATTGCGTGGTCACCGCACCAGAGAGGTTTACTTGCCTCTGGCGGCGGTACAGCCGACAGACGCATCATATTTCACGACACAGTTAAAGGAACCGTTGTCAACGAAATCGACACCGGAAGCCAAGTGTGCAACCTCGCTTGGTCCAAAAACTCTAACGAAATTGTCTCGACACACGGCTATAGCCAGAACCAGATCGTTGTGTGGAAGTACCCGTCCATGACGCAAGTAGCCAGCTTGACGGGACACACATACCGCGTTCTGTACCTAGCAATGAGTCCCGACGGCCGAGTTATCGTGACGGGAGCCGGTGATGAGACTTTACGTTTCTGGTCTTGTTTCGGTCGACGACCCGGTACTCGCGAGGATGGTGAGACCGGAGGCGGCAAATTCGCCGACTGGGGCATCATTCGGTGAAATCTAGCTTGTGGCTGATCAAATCATAAAGAGGACGTGATAATCTGATTGACTTCATATCTCTCCTTTGACAAGATGCTCTATCTTCTATGTTTATACCCGGGGCGTCTCCTACCTTCTTTTTTCTTCAACACACCTTTATTTGGTTTTGCTCTTTTTTGGGTTTTTTTCACGCGAGGAGTTGTGTGTCGTTTGGCAATGCGTGCGAGCGAGCTTCCACGCCAGAGCTCTGGGATATTGAAAGTGCGGAAGGGAAACGCGATAACGTCTTTTACTATTCATTTGATTGTATCATTTGGCATAATCCGGCGCGGTGGTTGATGAGGGGACCACTCTTTTCATGACCATGGTAACCAACTTATTTTTTTATTTTTTTCTGGTGTTTGGGTTGGGCTTTCTATATATCAAAGCCCAAAAGGCGGTCATTGGCTTTTTATTTGAACCACCTCCCCCCTCGCAGATGAAGGGGTGAGAAGTCAATTGGGACGACAGAAAGGGGAAAATCGTCCTGGTAGCGGTTTTTGATTGTTGTTGCTTCACGGCAGCTTAGCGCATCTATAGAGAGGACAGGAGAAACATGTCTGATCATGAACCGGAGACAAAATATATTACGTATCTACAATTGATAAGTGCACATTTTGCCAACGAGTGACACTGATAATGATGATTTGTAAATGTGTGACAAAATGTGTGAGGAACAAAAAGAAGAAGGTTCATAATCATTGAGCAATAAATACATGGCAAGACGTTATAAAAGAACAAAAGGAATCCCATCTCTCAGAAACATAAAGATACTCCAGATCCGTCATCCAAACAAACCCACGCTCAAGTGCCCCCCGTTGTAATAGCTACAGACTCCCTTTGCCGCTATGAAATTGGACTCTCGTAAGACTCGAAAAAACAAAACCCCCATAGGATATCATTCCAAAGATACATTAAGAACCTGGCTCACGTTTCCCGCTCTGTACTCGTATATCCTCATCTACTGTTATATCTAGGTGTATGACATCAGACGACGTCATAGCCATCGAATCCTTTCACGATCTTGCACCCAAAAAAATCGTCTCTCTACTCTTGACCCGGCTTTCGCTCTCTCGCAACATCTTCATCTCCCTTATCTACGCCAGTTGCGCCGATCTTGGAGTTCTCATCTAGCAGTGGTATGTGATCCAAGCTAGTGGACCGATTCTTGCCGGCGTCGGGTCGCATTGGCGAGGGTGCAAGTTGGGCATCCAAACTCGTGGCCTGCACGGGACCACCATCCATGTGCGGCGTAATTTGAGGCGATTGGAGCAGAGTCTCTGGGTTGTTCTGCCACTTGATGACGTCTGCCCTCATAGCCTCGAGCTCCTTCTGGAATCTCTTGCCAAAGACATCGATGTAGAACGTTGCGCCGTTATAGATACTCCAGCCAAACACGACAAGCAAGAAGGCAGTGGATGCCCATCGGCTGATGAACCAAAGTGGACATGGCAGAATAGTAAGACAGGCATAAACGTACTGAATCATCATAAATGTTGGCTCCTGTAACGCGGCCGGGCGAGCGAGGACGAATTTGCCGATCCAGGTCTTTGCATAGGATCTTCGAAGCCAGGTGAAGGACGTGGGCCTACCGGCAGCAATCTTTTCCCTTCGGCGCACGGTGATGAAGAAGTAATAGCTTAGCTGCCAGATTGCGTATGGAATCGTGCTCCACGCGAGCATGGACAAGACATTGGCGTATGCTGTAGGAGAACCAGGGTTCGCGGTCTTGATGGCCCAGATGGCGGGGAAACGTGTCTTTTGCAGCTCGGGGGGGTAGAGGTGGACAATGCAGTGAAGCGTCGCGCAAGGCATGATGTGGATGAAGAGCGAAGTGACCTTGTCAAAGCTGTGGAATACCAACGAGTTACGCCACATGATGATTGCCACAGCATTGTTTCCAAAAGCCAGACAGTAGGCAGCCGTGAAGAGTCGTTTTGATTGCGGAAAGACCCAGAGACTCAGACTCAGAAGCACATTGACAAAGTAGCAGAGATCGGCCAAGAAGTAGTGATATCCACGTCGATGATACGTGAAAATCCGAATGGGCATAAAGTATATGAGCTGGGCCGTATACCAGATATGAAACCACTCCGGATAGCCACCCATCAGATATCCGCTCGCAAAGATGTTCATAACGCCACAAATGAAGGATATCTTCTCTCGGAGGCTGATGGCCTTTGTGTCATTCCACTGCTTGCCGAGCTTCTCAACTCGCTGCCTCATGCGCTTCCTATATCGTTCGAGCTGTTCGTCGGCCGAGGGGACACGCCGCCTCCATTCCTCCACCATTCGGTCGCGGGCATTCTGGGTTCTCGACTTGAAGGCATCTCGAGACCGTCGCACCTTGTCGGTCTGAGCAGAGATGCCCCTCTGGAGCTTCTCGAGCTGCTGGGGCAGGGCAAAGTTGTCCAACAGGTCGAGGACGGTCAAGCGGTCAAGCGGCGGGAGGGCATCCCAGTCGTCCTGGTAAGTACTGCTGCTACCGGAGAAGGAAGGGTTCCTTGAAAGCCTGTGGCTCTTGGGAGTCGTAGCACTGAGACTTGGGGAATCGAGGATTTCAGCATCCATGGGCGATGAGCTCAGGGGAGAAGCCAGCTCGGCCTCTGCCATGGCGGGCAGCGAGCGCTCTCCATTGACAGTCGACCTGGTCTCTGGTGTTGAGACAGGCGTCGAAGTTTCTTCGTCCATTTTGGCGGGGGGTCAGGGCTGGGCTTGCACCTTGTTCATGAACCCATATACAACAGTCCGAACGATTTGAGACACGATAAACAGCCCACGACAATCGGCAGCCAAGCCAGATCAAATAATGACGGCCAGAGCAGCGAAATTGAACGTTGTTATCAACAGCGGTGGCAAAATTGACACCGCATGCAATGACAACGGATTGACGACGGATCGACACGTGGGTCAAGGGGATACGGGGAGCTTAGGAAGCAGAAAAGAACAATAAGTAGGGGAGGAGAGGATGGAGGGGAGGGAGAAAGAAGGAAAGACCACCAGCAGCGAAGTGTCGTTGATGCTGGAAGGATCCGGAGATGACTCGAGTAAAATCAAAGTTGAGAAGAAAACAAGAGGAGATTCTCTTTTAGGTTGCAGGTCGACACGAGCCTAAAATGACGACTGATGCTGCCCTCGATGATCATCCGCGAAACGCCTTGGAAGTGTTGCTGGCAGACCCATGTGATTACCTTCCGGCGAGTCCACTGCAGTTAAGAAGTACCGGGGGCTACATTAGAGTACTTGGGTGTACAGTTTTGCCATTTGGAACAAGCGCATGAACCGAGTAGCTTTGAGTAGCGCTTTCTCGCATGGTCGCCCACCATGAAGCAAGCCAAGTATTTCAGAACACGGCAGCCCGCCAACTCCCCCAACTCCACATGCTCCAGCTGCCTTAGCGGCTCCAGGACCCTGCGCCCAACAAAGAGTGTACATGCGTCAAGTACTGCTAGGTAAGCATTTGGAAATAGAGGCATGTCTCTCATTGGGCTGGTGACATTTTCACATGCAACTTTAGACAGCTACCCGATGGCAGAGACAATGGAAGCAGGAGATGCATGCTGAAAAGGTCTTGTGTGCAGCGGCCCAATCTACTAATAAGGTACCAAGAGGTAGTATAAACTGAACCTGGATGGATATCTATACCTGGCAGATACCTAAGACTGTTAGGTAGGCAGGTATAGAGGAGTACCAGGCGGCTAAGAGAAAAAAAAAAAGCAATGTGGCCTTGTCCACCTGACCTTGCTGTCCACCGAGATACTGAATTTTTTTTAACCTTCCACAAGGTGAAAAGCTGTGAAGGGCAAGATTCTTGGTAGCCTCAGAGCCATTGCTGGATAGCAGGTGCTGCGATTCTGCTCTCTGGTTGGAGGAGACAGAACGAAGGTCGACCGGGCGCTAACAGGGCAAACCCTCCAGCCTCGAGTCAGCTGGGCGGTGGCATGTGTCTGGCTGTTTGAATGAATCCGGAAGCGAGTCACGTGAACCAATTCAGGTCAATTCAATTGAAAACAGCCGGCAGTTGAATGAGAACGAGCAGGACAAGGTACAAGTTGGAAGTACCAGCCGCGGAATGCGGAGAATAGAATAATCCGGCCCATTAACGCTCCAAGCACCAAAGCTCTCTGTTGATGCTAGTTTAGCGGTTTGCTTGCTGGTTTGAGCAGAAACGGCCCTACTAAAAATCCCCCACCATTTTACTGAGTGCGGTGCTCCGTACTAGGCCAAGTCCTCTTAGTGGTGCTACCTGGATTTAGTGAGCTATACAGAATCGCCAGTTCGCGACGCGTCAAGTGCCATCTCCATCTTGCATTGCGCAACTCGCAGCAGCACCGCTTAGTATTTTCTAGCATGACGGGCTGGCGTCTCATGTCCTGTGCGAGATACTTTTGATTTACGCGACACCCCCTATGAGCCCAGAGCACCGAATCATCCCCGTTGAATGGTGTTGTCAACATCTTGAATTGCTCTCCGCGCGTGCTCCAGTCGCCAGAGCCGCACCGCCTCCAACACTCCGTTTTGCATCTTTACCAGTCGAGACTCGACATCTAGTTCACCATGGGTAAACTCATACGCCTCGAGCTGCACAGTACGTCTCGTCGAATCTCTGTTTGCGGCCGCCCGCTCCAACTAACAATGCGCCTCAAGATTTCAAGTCCTACAAGGGCCACCACACCCTCTTGTTTGGCGATTCCTACTTCACTTCCATCATCGGGCCCAATGGATCGGGCAAATCGAATTCGTAAGTCACAGTGATCAAATTCGCATGTCACCTCGTTTCCCCGGTATACTAATACCATGGGTGGATAGTATGGACGCCATCTCCTTCGTCCTTGGCATCAAGTCGTCTCATTTGCGATCCACGCACCTGAAAGAACTCGTCTACCGAGGACGTGTCTTGAAAACCTCAAAAATTAATGATGATGGTTCCGCTGAAGCAACTGCAGACGCCAGCAATTTTGCCGACGACGATAAGGCGTCTCGAGGCGATCCAAAGACTGCCTGGGTCATGGCGGTATATGAGGACGACGCTGGTGAAGAACAGAGGTGGAAGAGGACCATCACGAGTGGAGGAGCCAGTGAATATCGCATCAACGACCGGGTAGTTACGGCTCAGCAATACAACGATGCTCTGGAAACCGAAAACATCCTGATCAAGGCCCGCAATTTCCTCGTTTTCCAGGGTGATGTCGAAGCCATCGCTTCACAGTCTCCGCAGGATCTTACGCGGCTCATTGAGCAGATCTCGGGAAGTCTGGAATATAAAACTGAGTACGAAAAGCTCCAAGTCGAGGCAGAGCAGGCCATCGAGAACCAAAACTTCCAGTTCCATCGCCGCCGTGGTATCAACTCCGAAATTAAACAGTATCGGGAGCAAAAGAAAGAGGCAGACAGTTTCCAGAAGAAGACGGAGGAAAGAGATGCGGCCATTGTTACGCACTGCCTCTGGAAGCTGTACCACTTTCAGAAAGCTATGGACGATTCAAGCACCGCTATCCAAGAACAACACGAAGACCTAAGGGAGATGCGGAGAAACGTGGAAGAGTTTGAAACTCAACTTGATTCAGCCCGAAAGGAACAATCTGCAGTTCAGAAACAGGTGAGCAAGGTGGAAAAGGATATCAAGCACAAGGAAAGAAGCATCGAAGACAAGGAGAACGCCCTGGTTCCATTTGATGAGAAAATTCACGAGTCTTCGCAACAAATTGACAAGCTCCAAGCTCAGGCACAGAAAGTCGGCAAGGAGCTCGAGGAACAGACAGACATTGTGCAAAAGGTCCAGAAAGATATTGGGAGCGTGAAAAAGGCACAGGATCTGTTTGAAAAAGATATCAAGGATCAACTGAAGAAGCAAGGCCGAGACATTAGCGACGACGACCGCAAAGAATACAACACACTCCGAGCCCAAGTCTTGGCCCGAACCGGCTCCAACCAAGCAAAATTGGAGAACCTTGAGCGACAGAGGAAGGCGGATGAGGTCACTGTCAGTAGTCTCAAGGGCAAAGTTGACAGCATCTCAGGGACCATTGAGAAAATGGAAGCAGAGTTGACTAGCATCGGCGAGAGGCGAAGCGCTGCCGATTCTGCAACCAAGGACATTACCAATGACATCGCCGCCAAGAAGAAAGAGTTTAACCAGCTGCAATCTGAGCGAGTTCGAACTAACCAAAAAAGAACCGAGCTCGAAGAGAAGCTGGAGGACGTCGCAAGGAAGCTCAGAGAGGCCGACGATGGTCGCCGTCAGAATGATCGAGAGGTACGCATGAAGGAAATGGTGACGACTTTGAAGCGTATATTCCCTGGAGTTCGCGGTCGCATCGGAAACTTGTGCACACCGAAGCAGAAGAAGTTCGACGAGGCCGTTATTGTTGCCTTGGGAAGAGACTTTGACTCGGTAGTGGTCGATACGGAAAAAACCGGTGTGGACTGTGTTCAGTATTTGAAAGAACAGAGATTTCCTCCCATGACCTTTATTCCGCTGGACAACATCAAGGTCAATGCTGTCAACACCGCAATCAAGGGCTTCCCCGGTGCGAGACTCACCATCGACACCATCAACTTTGATGCATCGGTTGAGAGGGCCATGTCATACGCATGCGGCAGCTCTGTGGTTTGTGATACCCTTGACATTGCTAAGCACATTTGCTATGACAAGAAAATCCCCGTCAAGGCTGTTACGGTGGAGGGATACATCATCCATAAGGCCGGCTTGATGACAGGCGGTCGTGGTCCCGAACCTAAGGGTGGAAAGCGCAAGTTTGAAGAAGCCGATGTCCAGAATCTCCAGCGTATGGCAGCCAAGTTGAAGAGCGAGATCGATCGCCTTCCCAAGGCGGATCGCCGGGGAACCCAGGAGGAATCTCTCCACATCGAGCTCAATGGACTTGAACGGCAGCTGGTGGCGACTAGGGACGAGCTGGCAGCCTTGAACAAGAACTGGACAAGCAAGAAGCGCGAACTGGACAGTCAAAAGAAGCAGCTCCAAGAACTTCAGCCCAAATACGAGCAGCAATTATCGCAACTGAACCGTACAAAGGAGACGGTCCAGGAGTTTAAGGACGCTATTGCTCGCGTGGAAGACGAGATCTTTGATGGGTTCTGCAGGAAACTTGGATACAGCGACATTCGCGCGTACGATGCTTCTCAGGGCAAACTAGAGCAAGAGATTTCCGAGAAGCGCAACCAATACGAGGTTCAGAGGCAGAGACTGGAAAGTCGGCTCAAGTGGGAAATCACGCGCCACAGTGACACGGAAGCACGTATCAAGAGGATACAAGATCACATCCGACGTCTCAAGCAAGATATGAGGACATACAACAAAGAAAAGGCCGAGATCGAAGAGTCGATGCGCGATGATCAGGACGAGCTGGAAGCTCTTGGAGAGACCTTGGAAGAAATGAAGGCGGAGCAGTTGGAAAAGAACCAAAAGGTCAACGAGGCTCGAGCCGAGCTACAGAAACACAGCAAGGACATTGAGGCCTGCCAGCGAGAGATTAACGCCCTAGAAACCACTGTGCAGAAGAACAGCGCAGGCAAATCCGCACTCCTGCGAAGATGCAGGCTCGAACAGATCCAGATTCCGTTAGCCGGAGGTGCTCTCGACAACCTGCCGACAGAAGATGACTTACTGCGACAAGATCCAGACGCCATGGACGTCGATGGTGGAGAGGATGATATGATGGATATTGCTCTTGATGATCATGGCATCGAAATCGATTTCGACGGTCTCGAGGAGGACTTGAAAGAGTCTGGTGAACCCAGTGTCGAAGACACCTTGACGGAGAAGATTTCATCCCTAACAGCAGAGCTGGAGAAGCTGAATCCCAACATGAGAGCCATGGAACGACTAGAAAGTGTCGAGACGAGACTCAAACAGACGGATCAAGAATACGAAGACTCGAAATCAACGGCCCACAAGGCGAAGGAAGCCTTCAACAGCGTCAAGCAGAAAAGATACGAGCTGTTCAACAAGGCCTTTACTCACATCCAGGAGCAGATATCCAATGTCTACAAGGATCTCACGCGATCAGATGCTTACCCGCTGGGTGGTCAGGCCTACCTGGACATTGAAGAGGACACAGACATGCCCTATTTGTCAGGTATCAAATACCATGCCATGCCGCCGCTCAAGAGATTCCGAGACATGGAGCATCTGTCTGGTGGTGAAAAGACCATGGCAGCGCTGGCGCTCCTCTTCGCCATCCACAGCTACCAGCCAAGTCCTTTCTTCGTTTTGGACGAAGTTGACGCTGCGTTGGACAATGCCAATGTGGACAAGATCAAGAAGTATATCCGGGAACACGCGGGCCCTGGCATGCAGTTCATCGTCATCAGTTTGAAGGCCGGCCTATTCCAAGACAGCGAGAGTCTTGTCGGCGTATATCGTGACCAGGAGGTGAACAGCTCCCGGACGCTAACATTGGATGTAAGTTATTTGATAACCGCCGCTTTACTTGAGTGCACAGCAAAGCTAATTCATTTACCCACTTTAGCTGAGGAAATATGCCTAAGACCAGGCTCCCGGTATTCCTTGTTTATGTATCAATATTAACGACTGGAGAGGCTGTAAGTAGAGAGCAGGGCTGGCTGGATAGGAAAATGCAGGGAACCAATGAGCGGCGTCGTCGCCTCGACTATTGGAGAACCACGAGCTATGAGTTACTTGGCGCATGGATGAATATATTCCCTTTTTCTCTTTTACTAATTAAATCGATTTCGCCCTCATGGGTATTGTCACGATGCAGATTGGGCCTTTTGTACGCTCAAAAGCCACGGAGACATTGAGTAAGAAGAGTGTATGTGTGATGTATATACCAGGTTAGAATTATAGTACCCCGGAGAATAAAAGGAAGATCAGAGCAATCAATACGGATGATCATGGGAACTTCTTTGTGATAATACGTAGCGTAAGGTGGCATGTACAGCGTGAGTATTAAGGGTCCGTTTTATCTTTAAACCTCTCAACCCATTAATAAGGGGCTTCCAGGTCAATTAATGTACAATGATACTAAGATCTTTCTCTCACTGAATAGTCCATACAGCGATATCCGTGTCGTTAATAGCGTCAATTATTGTCACGCCAGTTATCCTACGACATGTATACTATTACCACAACTTGAAGCCACCAGGCACCTTGTGCTGGAACACTCCGGTCGGGTCATATTTCTTGCTGACCTGGCGGAGGAAGTTCAGGCTCTCCGCCCCGTAAGAAGCTAGCGGTGACTGGTGCGGGCCCGCGTAGTTCAGATACTCAAACTTCCGCAGTTCCCCTTTTCGCTCGGCGACCTTCTCGATAGCCGTAAATGTGTCTCGGCCTTTCTGGTAAATAGAGTCGCTAGAGCTCGAGTTCGGCCAGAGGGCAGAGAAGAGAAGGACTGTTAATGTCAAAGTTAGACTTGCATATACAAGTATATCGTGCGAGAAGATTCTGGGTGGCAGCAACTTACCAATACCATTGCCGTCCTCGGGGTCCAATCCGAGAACGTTTCCCCCAGTGGCGGCAGATTTTGAAAGCATCACAGATGGAAGGGGCTCGAAAGCAAAGTTCCATGTGACACCACCGGCGGGATTGAAGTCGTACAAGGACCCGTTCAGGGTCTTGAAGATGTCTAGCATAGTCTCGCTCGAGGTCCCGAGCGTGAGCGTGGCGAAGAGCCAATTCCTATCCACCAAAATCTGCATTAGGTACATTCGTCCTCTTCATAGAAACGGTACATATATCTTAGGGAGATGTTGAACTTACAGCGGCGGAGTGGGATTCTCCGCAGCCAGCGAAGCTACGCTCGTGATCGAGGAAGTGTTGGAAATGCTCGGCAGAGCCTCGAAGCCGCTGTACACCTCCGGATGAAGCACGGGCTTCGTGTAATAAGCCGAGGCGCTCACCGACCACGCCTTCGCCGCCGAACTGTACAGCAAGCCCGCCTGAAGAGACACATAGGGGTCGAAGTTTGGATCGGCGGCGACGTCGTTGAAGGCGTCGAACACGGCGCCGACCTGGGACACGCCGTATGAGAAGGTGTTGACCGACATGTTTCCCTGCGGGAACGTCTTCAGCTCATAGCGCGTCACGACGCCAAAGTTGTTGCCGCCGCCCTTGAGGGCTCGGTACAGGTCGGGGTGGCTAGTCGCGGAGATGTTTGCGAGGGTGCCGTTTGCGAGGACGACCTTTGGTTGAGAAGTTAGAATACAGGGGGGACTGACAAAGATAGCAAGGAGAGCGATGAAGCAACAAGTTTGTACATACCTCATATCCAACAACACCATCACACGCCCATCCAACTCGCGGCGAGAAGTGCGAGATGCCACCACCTAAGAGCAGGCCACCAACACCGACGAGACCGTTCCTCCCACCAGCGGCGGCAAGATTGAAATCATCCAGATAGCCGTACACATCGTTCCAGACGGCGCCCGCCCCGACGGCAACCGAGGTTCCCTTCTCACTCAGCGCCGTCGCGTTCAGATGTCCCATGTCAAAGGTCACGCCGCCCTGGATGTTGGCGAAGCCTCCGGCCGGAGTGTGACCGCCGCCTTTGACAGCGAATTGGCATCCTGGCGCCCGTGATGAGTTGAGGATTGTCACCGCCTTGCTAACATCCTGTGCGGAACGCGGTCGAACAATGCAGGCCGGCACGAGGGTCGACTCTTGGATAGAGAACCAGTCGTTCGCGGTGAAGGGCGTGGTGGTGACAATGTCGCCCAGCGCGGAGGCGAGACGATCACACTGCGGAAGGTCAGCATCGTGTTTATCGGGATAGTGAAGGTTAGCATCTTACGCATGTATCATATGAAGCTGCAGATACAGCAGCAGCCGCTACCAACGCGGTGGTCGTGGAACGTTCTGCGAGTCTCATGGTGTTTCAGGGTCGACTCTCTATACTAGACTTATACGAGGCCCATACAAGATTCAAGGAGAGAAGACACAATTCCGTTCCCCCTTTACACACACTCTCTAGTCTATATAGCTGTAGAATCCTTCGCGAAACTCGTCATCGCGCTGGAGTGAGCCCGTCATCTTCGCGGCCCTAACGCGGTCGCTCGCGGCTGTAGCATGATTTGTAGACAAGGGACATTCGGCCCGTGATGCTGTTTAGCCCGAAAGTAATCGGCCTCTCTCCAGGTTCAGTGGAGTTGACGGTATTACTGGTAACAACTAGTTCCGGGAAACCGGCAAACGGTCGGTGGTACCAGTTGATGACCCCCCGCATCGGCCAAGTCTTTTGGTAAGGAGATGGAATCGTAGATGGTCATCTTGCCTACTCCATGGTGGTAGATGTGGTTGACTACGAGTGGAGGCTGTTGTGTATATCTCCCAGGGGCTGTAAGAGCTGCCTATACGCCTTTACATGCCAGGTAAGTTGTTGCTTGTGTCAATGGGGTCCTTCGACGTGCTATATATATTATATCATATAGAGCCAATCAGTAGATGTAAAACTTTTATTTAGACAGCAGGCGTGTTTCATGAAAGAGATTTAACCATCTATGGATGCTTATTTTGGTTCTCTCTGTAATCCTGTTTGGTTGCCTTTTCATTGGTGTAAGAGTGTTAAAGTGTATGCGCTGGCCAAATATTCTTCCGGCTTCCGGGCTCGCTGTAATCGCGACCGGTGATAGGCCGCAGGTCGCAAGATGCACGACGCGACAAACCTTAACATTTGCAGCTGAATTACCTTCGAATTGATACCAATGCCTGAAATATAGGTCGATTTGCGGTTCCCCAGATAACGCATCGCCATTCCAGCAAAAGCGAACGAGTTCCAAGCAAGCAGGGCGAATTCTGGCCTCTGAATACCTTGCATAACTGGGGCGAATCGATAAAGCCACAGGCCACTACAACCATGCCCTTTGCACTTCGTTGATCATGATTTGTTTTCCTCTTCCGCATACCCAAGCAGCTTCGCCTCTCTCTGTGTGATGCCCATTAGATCACTCGATATCACGTTATTCCTATCCCACCAAGGTTTATCTCGTGCCACATCGACTCCGTAAGCTATCGCATCATCGCATCGAAACCGCAATCACCATATCCCAAACTCACGCGAGCCCTTCACACGATCTACGCTCTCAAACCCAGGTCCCATCGATTCTCTTACTTGCCCGACTACACCTCTTTACCGACGAGACGAAGGTAGACACTTGTTCGGCATCATGGATCTCGCTGTGACACTCATCAAGGCCGTCATGCGGGCGTTCTACCCAACGCGAGACATCCTTGTGGTGGACGCACTGATTCTTCATGAAGCGTATGCCCTTTCGGTGGATTTTGGGGTTTGGTGAAAAGAGAGATGAGCTGAACAGTTGTGGACAGTCTTCGCGATGACGATCTTGCCTATTTAATGGCCATAAACACAAAGGACTTGCACAAGATATGCGGAAAACTTCGAGAAGACCGCTTCTTAACAGTGTAGGCTTGAAGATATCAGTCATGCTTTCTTTTGAGACGGACAGCTTACTCCGATAGTCACACGAGATCCGAATTACGACCAGGCAATCCGCGACCGAGTAATCGCACATGGTACTACATCAACTACCGACATACCATCGACGCCATCAAGTGGCGGGTTTACAACATAGATAAAGAAGTCCAGGGAACTACCGTGCCGGTAAACGAAAAGAAGGAATACTTTTGCTCGTTCTGTAAGGCGGAATGGACCGCGATGGAAGTTTTGGACAGCGTTGGGCCCGAGGGCTTCCTTTGTCACCGATGCCGACGACCTTTGTCATTTGAAGCAGATCGAAATGCCGGCGGGCACGAACAGTCTACCCGACTGAATGACCAATTCAAGTTCATTAGCGAGCTGTTGCCTAAAATCGACGCAGCCCATATTCCGGAATGCGACTTTGATCGGGCCTTGTCAAAAGCTCGGCCGGTGATCCGCGACGCTACACACCAACGTGCAGCTACGATACCCGTTGATGACGCCTCGTCTCGGCCCATGGCAGTGAGAGGATTGGCCAATACGGGTCCACAGTCCATTGCCGTCAACATATCCACGTCTGACGGACCGTCGGAGGCTGAGAAGGAGGCCGAGAGACTTCGGAAAGAAAAGATTGCGCAGCAGAACGCGCTCCCGTCCTGGATGTCAAACAGTACTATTACAGGAGAGTCGTTTTCTGCGACAGCCGAAGCTGCTGCTTTAGGATTGGGTAGAGACGCAGCGGAGCGAAAACTGTCTCAGGGCAAATTGGTCGACAACAATGCCACTACGCAGATTGATGACATTTTCGAGAAGCTCAAAGCAGAGCAAGCTGCCATCTTGGCGCGAGAAGCAGATGCTGAGAGCGAAGGGGAGGACTATGGCTCCGAAGAGGAGGATGACGAATTCGAAGATGTTATGGCCACGGGCAACAACTCTGGTCTAGGCACGCCCGGCATCAAGGCTGAAGTATCAGAAGCTCCATCAGGTGACGTATCTCGAATGGAAGACAGCTCGGATGAGAGGGCGAACAAGCGGGTCAAGGTTGAACCTGGAGTTAAAAAGGAGGACAGCGGCGACGAAGACGAAGACGACGATGAACTCGAGTTTGAGGATGTTTGAAGGCCTGCGCGTCCAACGGATCTCAAAAGTTTGTGTAATTTACAAGAGCATTTAGACAGAATAGGGGCAACTCAACCTGGCAGCGCGCAGAATGCATGCACAGGAGAGTTTGGAGCTGGCGTTCTTGACATTGCTCAGCAGTTTTCGGGCATATGTTGGTTCTATTAAAGAAAAGAGAATATTTGACACTTTTGATACTGCACTGTAGTCGAGAAGCAAACACTGAGATTGCTCATCTCCGTTAGAACAATGTGACTGTTGGGCCTTGTCATATTATATTATCTGTTGGGCTTTGTCTTTGTCTTCTCTTTTTTGTTTGCTCAGCTAGAAACGGCGACAATAAAAAGAGCGGGGCCGAGTCCTTCTCAGTGCGTCTTGGTGAGCCAATAGGAAGCTTTCGATTCAGATTCACGCTGTTACAATGACGAAACTGCACCCAACACCAAAGTCATTCATTGCAAGTGTAACCGGTCAATAAAAAACCAGGGAATCCTGTGATTCTTACCACTCGTGTGAATTTTTCGATTTTTTCTAAAGAAAAGATAATGGCCCTCCTGTTTGGCTCACACAAGGCCCCGCGCCATGGCTCCTGAGCTGCCTCGCATCTTCTTGCTCCCAACTCACTTACAAGCAGACGAGCTACGTGAGTTGGAGGCGAGAATCCCTACGCTGACACATGACGCTCACGAGGCCAAAATTATTCTGGGCAAGATATCTAGACCCGAGCGTGCTCTTTTTGAGCTGAGACGGCTCAAGGTTGCGACGGAACCGGTGGCTTTGGAGGAAGCTGAAAGAGAAGAAGTAGGTGACAAGCGTGGGCGAAGTGAAGCATCAGAGGTTCCGTCAAAGCGACGGAAGCTATCGAGATCAGAGAATACAGAAATCCGAGGAGAAGAGAATCATGGTGACCTTTTGGATCTGTTGAGAGGTCCAGGGGATATCGTTTTGGTGCTGAAACTGGCTTGGCTATTCGATTGCCTCGAAAAGGATGTTGCACTGCCTGCTGATGATTATTTGCTTTATCGAGGGCGCAAACTCGCATCTCCGTCTTTGCAGAGTTCAAATCTTGCAACTCATCAGTCAAAGAAAGAGAATGAAGCAGCCAAGTCAGCCTCAGCAGTGCTCGCCCGAGCCATGGAGGACCGGCAAAGCGTCAACGACAGTCCACTTTCGAAGCGGACAACAAGACCAGGAATTGGCTCCTCAAACGCCTCTGATGGGCGACCGCATGCTGAACCGCCGAAGCTGCATCACGAGACGACTTCTGAGCACGATATTCCTCTGCCACCAATTCCCGAGTTTCTTCATACCACATATTCGTGTCAGAGACCATCACTTGTAGACCCGCCGAATGCTGCATTTATCGCGGAACTCAAGGCTATTCGTACACTACGGCTTCTACGAGGAGATCAGGTGGGTGTTAGGGCCTACTCTACTTCGATAGCGTCTCTTGCTGCGTACCCGTATCTTTTACAGCGACCACAGGGTAAGTTGTCTTGTACTCAGTCCTTTCCCTTCATATACTAATGTTACCCAATAGAGATTGAAAGATTACCAGGATGCGGCCCCAAGATTGCAAAGCTATATCAGCAGTGGACGAGTAATGGCTGCACCGATGAGACTAGCACGGCTAAAACAGACACTGAGCTTGTTGTGCTGAAGGTGTTTTACGACATTTGGGGAGTTGGAGATATCACTGCTCGTCAATTCTTTAAGAAGGGTATGTCTGCCTTACTTGTACTTCGTCACTGAACAATCGTCTCCTGAATGCTAACAAATTACTTTCTTGTTGTGCCACCAGGCTGGCGAGATCTTGACGATATTGTAGAACATGGCTGGAATTCACTGAGCCGGGTCCAGCAGATTGGCGTAAAATTCTACGACGAGTTTCAGCTCAAGATTCCACGGCAAGAGACAGAGGCCATTGCAAGTGTCATTCTCTCCCATGCACACCGGGTCGACCCAGGTTTCCAAATGGTCATCGTGGGCAGTTATCGACGAGGCAAACCTGCAAGTGGCGACGTCGATGTGGTCTTGAGCCATCCCGATGAAACTCAAACACTCGATATCATTGAGAAGCTTGTCACTAGCTTGGAAAAGAGCAGCTACATTACGCATACCTTGAGCGTATGGACAAAGAATAGCGAGCGCGGACAGGCTCCCGTGGCGTGGAAAGGCGAGGGTCGCCCAGCAGGATCAGGATTCGATACGCTAGACAAGGCCATGGTGGTTTGGCACAACCCCGAGGATCATGATGGTCCGCACCGAAGAGTCGACATCATCATCAGCCCCTGGAAGACGGCTGGGTGCGCAATCCTTGGATGGAGCGGAGAAACAACATTTCAGCGGGATCTTCGACGCTACTGCAAGGCAAAGATGGGATTCAAGTTCGACAGCAGCGGTGTTCGGAACAGGGCAGACGGGTCGTGGGTGGATCTCGAGAGTTCCGAGAGAGGCCCGGCCCCGGACATGGAAACGGCAGAGAGGCGAGTATTCGAGGGGCTCGATCTGGAATGGCGACCTCCGGCAGAGAGGTGTACGGGGTGAAGAATCTTTTCTGTATGGAGACTAGGTGATTCTGGCGATGGTGTTGTTGTTGTTGGTGTCAGTTGGCATGTCGATATCACACGTTTAAACTAACAGCCTATGATAATACCTGGTTTACACACACCCCCTACCATTGGAAACCCATCCTCATTACAGCCCCAAGGAAAGGAATTTTATGCTCTTTTTTGCATCACATGTACTACAGGAGTTTGGAAATAGCTGTTCCTTCATCAAACTAAAGCCAATGGCTGCACTTGAACCAAGCAAGGAACGGGGAGCTGAAGCGGACTTTTGGCGTTGAGCTGCGGACTTTACGCGGGACCGGCCTGACTCCAAGCGCGAGACATGCAAGCCAAGCGAAGAGATGACGCAGACAGAGGTTCTTTTTGCGACCCTTGAATGAAACGGCGTATTCATGAGGATGTGATTCGTATACAATACGCAATATATTCTGAGTGCATAGTAAAATAAGCTGTGTTAGGCAACACACAGGCTGCGTGGTTGGTGATGGTTGGTTTGTGGCTTGGGCGAGATGAAAAGCCGCAAGCGAAGATCCGAGTGGCGCTCGGGAGAGGGTCGATACGGACCGTCGGCGGATGTTGCAATGCCGGGGGTGAAGCGAGGCGAGGGCGAAGGAATCGAGGCAAAGGGCGTAGAAATGGACAGACGGTGAGGAATTGGGTGTGTTTTTTCGATGCACAGCGGCATTGATGTATAATTTTGTGTTGTGCGTGTGTATGATGTTGTTGGAATAGTTGGCTGGTGATGGCCTATTAAAGAGGTGAATATGTTCAATCGTCTTACACGTATTTCTCACTTGTACAACATCAACTATTTGTTACTGCATCAATTCACCCATAATTATCCTGGTTACTAGCATGTGACAATTACGTGTATTTAGACAAACTAAAATCTATACCAATGCCATTTTGCTATTCATTATACAAAGTACTGCACCCATCACCGGCAATGGATCCTCCTCCTAGTCCTCGTACCTGGATTTTTTGTTTTTATCTCCGCAACGAAAATCCCACCAGACTGCCGTGTTATCCATAAAAGAAACAAAAAAACCCTCCCAAAACGGCATTCGGAATTCCCCATCGTCCGCAGGGTCTATTAGTCGGGAACTAAGGGAAAAAAAAACATTGAAAAAATAAGAACACGTTACAGGGAAAGGCGCGGCAGTGGGGGTGGGTTTGCCTCTTCTCTGTCTCTTCTATGCTTTTCTCTTATGTTCCTCTCCCTCTACTCCGAACTTTAGTGCAATACGCCCACCCCCTTACCATTGGATGTCTCAGCTACTGTATCAAAACAGCCCATCGCACTCCGTACTCCGTTGGGTTGGGTTGGGAAGCGAAAGGGAAAATGGGGGGTCCCAGTTTCTTTAGGCCATAGATGCTAAACTGGGGACTGGACACTAGCACTGGAAATAAGTATGTTGATGCTCCGTTATGGAGAGTTCAGGGGGGGCGGGACAATCAGACGCTTAAATTGACAACTGTGCCCACTGCCATTTTTCGAATGTTGTCAACCTCGAACAAGTCGTGTATACTATACTATTCACTGATAATTTGAATTGTTTTTTTATAACGCATTTTATTATAATTGTTACTGTGTATAATCATTCAAAATGGCCATCACTCTGACCCTCCCCGACGCATACGGGTAAGTCTCATCTCACACGCCAATGAAACACCAACAAAAATCATCACCACCACCATAAGAAAAGACACACAGATATCTGATATATATATACACTGCAGCTTCGTCCTGGCCGCCGCCACGTCCACCTTCTTCGTCAACATCCTGCACATGGCCCGCACAGGCAAATTCCGCAAGGAGAGCAAAATCGCCTACCCCAACTGTTACGCCACCCACGAGCAGGCCGAAAAGGATCCTGCTGCGTACAAGTTTAACTGCGGTATGTACATTCACAAAAAAAAAAAAAAAAATTGAAAAAAAATGAAGCAGATTTCTGGTCCTTTTCACTCCTAATTATTTCATCACTCTTCCCCATCTTACTGCGTTGTCCTGTATATCACTCAATAGCTCAGTTCGACCATCATCAAAAATCCCTTCAAAAACTTCAAAACCTCTCATGAAAACTAACTCCTCACTCCACAGCTCAACGTGCCCACGCCAATTTCATCGAGAACCAGCCCTCAGCCCTCGGCGCCCTCTTCATCGCCGGCCTCCAATTCCCCGTCGCCGCCGCCATTCTCGGCGCAAGCTGGTCTTTTGGTCGCACCCTCTACCTCTACGGCTACACTGGCGGCTCCGGACCCAAGGGCCGAACCTTGTAAGTGAAAATTCATCTTCAATCTTTCCAGCCGTTCCTTTGTAACTAACATCGTCAAGCGGTGCTTATTTCGCGGGAGCGGCAGACTTTGCTCTCAAGTTCATGGCCGCTTACACCTCCATCATCTTTATCTTGGACAACTAAATCACTCCTGTCCAGCATATGTAAATAGCAAAATTTTGTTGAATTAATGGTTATTTCTTTTCCTCATCGCCAGACACGCTGGGGGAAACAAACGCTTTTTCGTCCACCTTCTCGTGGCGCTTGTCATAATGGCGCTTCTCGTTCCTCGCCTGCCCTAAAACTGCTTTGCCTCGATTCACGATCGCTGTTTTTCTCGTAGACGATTGGGGCACGCGTGTGCTTCGTTTGTGTGTTTGTGTGAAAGTAAATGTGCCCACATTCCATCTTCTGTGAGCGGGACGGTTTCCCCCCGTCATGTGCCAATTAATTATTATACAGGATATCAAAATGCGCAAAGAAAAGCGTAAAAAGGCGATGGAAGCAAAAAAGAAGAAGAAACAAAGTAACCTAAAAAGACGTCTCATCTTGTCCACCCCCCGCAAGATGCTATCTTCGCAATCTGCGGCGCCGAAGCTCTGCAAATGTTTCTTGGGTTTCGTCGAATTCCAGATTCACAATCTCCTCCATGTTCCCAATCGTCTTCTCGATGCCGTTGTTCCCCAGGAGATAGTCCCCAAAGTACTTCATGGCGTCAAACACTTCCTCTCCCGTCGGGACAATGTACTCCTTGGGGAGGAGGAAGCCATAGCTCCCCGTATCTCGGAGCTTAATTTGGTAGCTAAAGTGCGCACCCAGCTCGTGGTAGAACCAATCGATGGCGGACCCGCCGCCTGATTCGATGCGAGGCCAGACTGGATGACGGTCGCCAGAGTCTGTGGAAGCGACGGCACCCTCGCAGGCGGAGGTGACTGAGTACGACTCTCCGTTAGACAAGCGAATCGCCTTGGCAATTCCCATGGCCAGCTCCTCCAAGTTTTCGAGATTGGGAGGCTCGGTGGAGCATGTGTATGAGTACGGGAAGAGGACCTGCTGCGAATACGAGTGGAGGTCCAGCAGTCCGACAAACTTGACATTGTGCTCCGTCTCGTTTCTGGCCCACTGGGCAAGCACGTCGGCTTCGGTGGCCTGGAAAGGTTTATCTCCGCCATAGCTCTCCGAACACGGGTCGCTTTGGGTCTCTGCATGGTTCCAGCCGAAGCCAAAGGCATGGTCCAGGTCCATGCCGCGACAGAAGCGCAGATTTGTCTGCTGTCTGTTCTTGCGCCACAGACGGTCGACCTCCCAGCTGTATTCAACTCCATCGGGGTTGACTACTGGAATGAAGACAACGTCAAAGTGACTCAAGAACTTGGTAATCATTGGCTCTTTGCCAAACGATGTGATGAATGACCAAGCCACGTAGTTGACAGTGCTCGTTGAAATCCATTCTCGAGCGTGAAGACCGCCGGTGACGACAATCATTTTTCGCGGCTTGCTAGGGTCGGCGAGCTCCGGGACACCGACGCGGAGGGCAGGAATGTCTCGCCCTTCAAACGATTTTCCGATCGAGATGAATCTGACATATGATGGAAACATGGCCTCTAGCAGACGCATCCAGCGGACGATGACGGGCAATGGCTGGTAGTCCTGGAAGAAGAGATTATCAACAGACCTCAGCGGCTCCGACAGCGCCCAACTAATTCCCTCTGGAGCCAAGGTGCTGCTCTTAGCTGATGGCATTTGCTGGTACACTGCAGCGGCCAGATCCGGTATCAGGGTTGATTGCGATGCCCGTAGGGACGGAGGCAGAAGACTGAGCAGCGGCTGCACTTCCTTGGCATGGAGCCGGATGTCAACGAATTCAGTCGTAAAAGCCCACACATCAAGGAAAAGCTGGGCGGCAGCTTCGGCGAGGGCAGCCTCATCGGCGGTAGTGGTGACGTTAAATCGCAAGACCAGCTCGTTGGCGTATCGCGAGTGAGAGTATCTGGGCGCAGCGGGGGCGGCCTTGGAAGGATGACGACCGAAGATAAGCTCAATGGCGCCATCGCGAAGCTTGGTGAGGAAGGGAAACAGGTCGTTGCGATTGCTCTGAGAGTGGCTCTGAGAGTGCGAGGGCATTCCCGAATGCCCAATGCCAGCGCCGTGGGCTGGGCCGAGGAGGGCCAACGAGGCCACGACGGCCGCGACCGTTGGCTTCATCTCGGCTTTGGTGAGCGACTCGGCTCGGTGGGGTCAATGAAATGATGGCGATCAAATAAAAAATAATTGGATATCAAATGGAAGCAGAATATTTAATTATCACTGTACATGGCGCTGGTTGGAGGATGAGGATGAGGATGAGGCGACTCTTGTCGAGGTACCTGAGGCTAGCAGATGGAAGCGGTTGAAAAAGTCAAACATGAAGGTCATTAAACGTGGTGGTGACAGAAGCTTGATGGGGCGAAGGCTATGCTCCAGGCACTGACATTGGCAACCTTGGCGCTGTTACGAGCAAGTCAGTCGCATTAACAGCGGGCGGCTACCGCTAAGGCACCAACTGAACATGGAACATGGAGCCCCCCGGAGAATATACGGAGTAGCGGGGACCGGATCCCGTTGTAGACGTGCTGCGCGCAGTGGTGCACAGCTACCGGGAGCAGCGCTGCCCGTAGGTACTGGGTACTTGATGGCGGGGCTGTGCCGGAACGTGCTTGGCAGGATACAGAGCAGCAGAGGGCTGTAGCTTATTATGCCTTACTCGTACAGGTACGGATTCTATTGGGTAGCAGGTACACGTACATGTACGCAGAGGCTTTTGCACAGACAAGACAAGCCCGCTGGTTCCGGGGGGGCGCATGCATGAAAAAGACATGGATTGAAACAGCGAGACCTCGTAATGATAATTTGAATCAATCCCTCGAGGCGGGATTACTGCTTGTATACTCCATCAGGTATACAGTACGCAGCAAGACGTCCGTCAATGACAATGGAGCACGAGGATTTTCCCTCCGAGCGGGCTGCGCAAAACTTAGTTCCAGGCCGTAGCGTCCGTCTGGCTGCTGTCATGCCCGCCACACAACCTGTCAGCAGCAACCGTGGCACTCGGACATAAAAAAGATCAGATCACTGCAGAAGTGAGCACTGGAGCTTCTATTTTAGCAGCCAGAAATGGTGCAACGGGCACTGTAAGCACATGAAATATTCTGCAAGTGTTCTGGACGTGCGGATCCACAGGCGGCATCAGCCTCACGCTTGTATCGTCAGGTAGCAGCGCTCGCTCGTTTTGGGGCCAATTGACGAGAGCGGTACCGAGTACACGCGCGTACACTTTTAGCTCCAGAGCCCCTTCACCAAAGGCCAACCTGAAGCCAACCCCCATGTAATCTGTAATCTCTACCTGTCTGTAGTCTAGCACCTCCAGAATGGCGTCGATATTGTGCTGATTGCCAAACCCCCTCCCCTGGGCCCTTTTTCGTCTTGTCTTGTCTTGTCATCTCATCTCCCGCCGGCTGCACCTGTGCGTCTTGTCTGTGCAGAACTTCGTCTCGACCCTCTGCCGCTCCCTCGCTCAATGCCCCTTCTCGACGCGCCTGGCGCATCCAGCTAGCTACTAGCCCTCCCAACAACCTTGGATCCTTGGACGGAACCTTGGTCACACACTCGTACGGCCGCACCGGGAGCCTCCAGCGGCGGCAGACCATGACCATCGGCCATCATGCCCTTTCTACGCCGCCGCGGCAACATGGCCAGTGAGACCGACATGCGCCGCCTCACCACTGCCTTTGCGCCGGCCTCTGACGACGTCCCCGAACTGCCGCCGCCGCCTCAACCCGAAGACGAGGCTGCCATGCCTCTCTCACGACCGCAGAGCCGAGAGTCTGGCTCGTCGCTCGACCGCCCGACCACTCCGCCCGTCCAGCAGCAGTCCAACAAGCACCGCCGCTTCTCCGTCCTCCGCTTTCGAAATGCCTCCGACTCACAGCTGTCTCTCCGGGTCAAGCAGGCGGCCGAGAAGCCTCCTCCTGTCCCTCGACGTAAACCAACCCCCCCGTCCCATTCCGTCCCCTCCATCCCCCCTCTGCTTCCCCCCTCAATTTCAAATTCAGATCAAGGTTTTAGATCTATAGATACATCTCCATATCTATCTATTTCTAGATCCAGATCCGAGATTGAAACCCCACGCCCTCCCTGGTATGGTCATTCGAGACATCATGGCGACTGACTCTTCCCTTTCTTGCTCCTCTAGCTCCTGCCATCATCACCACCGCTCCCACCATGCCCATGGAAGCGAACAACCTGAAGAAGTCATCCTCCCGCTTAGGACTGGCCTCAATGCTGCGACGATCTACCGATATCCCTCGCAACGATCCTCTCTCTAACCATCACCGCGAACCCATGCCTAGAAAGTCCATGGGCGAACAAGGACGGCCTTCGCTGAGCGTTACAGACGATCACGAACCTCAATCGCCACGGCCCTCGACCCAGACGACTGTTGATTCCACCGGCACCGGACTCAACATCGCACCTCGGCCATCCGAGTCCTCAAGATCAGATGTTAGCTCCACTGATCGAGTGTCTCACACCAGCTTCAGTTCTACTCCAAAAAAATCCGCATCATCTACATCCTTCTTCAAGCTGCGCAGAAACAAGCGGCCGCCGGAACCGCTTTTTCCCTTTGCACACCTTCAGCAAAAGGGCACTCCGGCAGACGGATCCTCGACCACATCTCTGGGAGTCGAGGCGACACCACGTCCAGCTTCAGCCCAGAGTGCCGGCGTTCAACCGGCCGAGAATGAACACGGCCCTCACCTTAACCCGGCTATCGCTCTCTTTAACGCAAACGGCGGCCCTCGCTCCGACCAATCCTCTCCAAATAGGCCTACCTTGCTGCGCGGGAGATCGTCCACGTTAAGTTCCATAGGTAGAGACTCCAACGATGAACATCTCGGCCCGCCCCCCAATACGCGGACATCCACCTCCATCGGCCGCAAGAGCTTTGGCGATCTCCTTGGCTTGACCCGCCTCCGTCAGAACTCCGATCTTAGCCGGCAGGGCTCCTTTACACCTGCCACGCCGGGATCCGTTGCCTCCAAGAGCAACTCACTCCAGCTGCCGAGGGATACCATAGTTCTCCCAGAGCGCTTTGAGGATGAATCTCCTGCCAAGTATATTGCTCGCATAGAGGGCATGGTCAGCCGGGGTGTCGTGGCCGCCGCGCTATCCAAGGGGACTGATGCCTTCTCAACGGCAGCTCTAAGAAGCTTCATGAGGACCTTTAGTTTTTTCGGAGATCCTATGGACATGGCCATCCGCAAGCTCCTAATGGAAGCTGAGCTTCCAAAAGAAACACAGCAGATAGACAGATGTCTACAGGCATTTGCTAACCGCTACCATGAGTGCAACCCTGGCATTTATTCCTCGCCCGACCAGGCATACTTTATTGCCTTCTCTCTCCTCATCCTCCATACCGACGTTTTCAATAAAAACAACAAGCACAAAATGCAAAAGACGGATTACCTAAAGAATACCCGCGGAGAGGGCATCTTTGATGAGATTCTCGAATGTTTCTATGACAACATTTGCTATACCCCCTTCATCCACGTCGAAGATGACCTTGACCTTAACAGCGAGCGCCACGGCGGCAGCATCAAGTCGAAGCGGAAGATCCTGCCTCCCCCTCCTGGCGACCCTGCCAAGCGAGCTGCGAAGGAGCCGCTTGATCCTTACACTCTCATTATTGACGGCAACCTGGACGTCCTGCGGCCGAACCTCAAGTCTACTATTCCCCTGGAGGACCAGTATCACTATCTAGCTACGGGGCAATCTCTCAATCTGAAGGACCTGCAAAAGACTTTCTTTAGAACCGGCGTCTTACAGATCGTCTCTGCAAGGTCTCGACCAGACGCATTCATGTCTGATAAGCCCCTGAACAACCCAGATGACGCACCCGGCATTGTTGACATCAAAATCACAAAAGTCGGTCTCTTGTGGAGGAAAGAAGCCAAAAAGAGGAAGACACGGTCTCCGTGGCAGGAATGGGGAGCTATCCTGACAGGCGCCCAGCTCTACTTCTTCCGCAATACTAGCTGGGTCAAGAATCTCATGCATCAGTACGACAGCCATATCAAGGCCGGCCACGATGGGATACCCATCACTTTTAAACCCCCCCTGGAAGAATTCAAGCCAGATGCTCTCATGTCTACTAAGGGTGCCGTAGCTCTGCTGGACACATCCTATAAAAAGCACAAGAACGCCTTCATCTACGTCAGGCAGGGAGGCTTGGACGAGGTTCTCTTGGCCGATGATGAGGATGAGCTCAACGACTGGTTGGCAAAACTCAACTATGCCGCTGCCTTTAGGACATCCGGCGTCAAGATGCGCGGCGTTGCTGGAGGCACCTATGACGGCCACAGCCGTCGAGCTTTCAGGAGGCTTGACAGCTCTGATGCCACGCAAACTGTCGAGACACCAACTGGCCTTGTATCGATTGCAAGGAGCCGCATCGACCACAAGATGGCAGAGGATATTCAGCTGGCGAGACGAGAGTTTATGCAGGAAAAGATTGCCGAGGCGGATCGCAAGATAGAGGACTCCAGAAAGGCCTTAGAAGAGCAGTTGAGAAATGCCCGTCACCTTCAGATACTTGCACCTGTTCAGCCAAGGACGAGAGAGCAACTTCTCTTGGCCGCAGCTCGCATGTCCGCGCAACTTAGGTGGGCGCGAATGGAGATTTGGAAGGAGAAGTGTCATCGTGATATCCTGGCCCTAGATCTAGAGGAGGAGGTAGAATTGGTTGAGGGCAAGATCTCGACTGACATCCGGCCCTCGGTCGAAGAGCGTCGTGTGTCTTCAGCACCGCATCCATCAACAGTTGCAGCCAAGCGCCCCGAGTCTCAGTCCAAGGCAATGTCTGAGAAGCTTCCTCAGTCGCCTCTTGTAGAAGCACATCCTGAGTTCTTCTCGGACAAGAATGACTTTAACTTGGAGCTGCAGGATCCGGCGAGACCATCATCCCCACCGGCGACGCGGCCAACGAGCGAAGTGCTGTCTCAGCTTGAAGTGCAAGAAACACCCAAGGTGGACGTTGGAAGTCTCAGGCATGGCTCGGTTTCAAGCATCGCCCCCTCTCCTGTGCAACC